AAGCATCAAATGTAACAGTCTGTAAGCCCCCCCCCTTCAAGTTGCTTTTAGCCACAAATAGAATGTCAGGGTTTAGGAGCAGAAAGTTTCACGAAGTGTTTCTGAATGGCAGGCTGAAAGTGACACACACTTAGACAATCTGTGTCAGGAACATAGTCATCAACATCCTTATTCACTTTGCACAAAGGTTGTGAGCTTAGAGATCACATAATCAACACTTTACGAATTACACCTCCCCTTTCGAAGAGGATGTTTGTCTATTGAACAGGATACATGTACATGGTATGAGTAATGTCCAGCGACATTTTCCAACCTAGGCCTTTCTTATTGTTTCTGTTTATTCCAAGCAGTGACTAAATAAAATGGAGATGAGAAAGATGGTAGACATTAGCCTAATACTTATACCATGATAGTTATTTCTATAAAGTTTCACAAGGTTTGTAAATTTTGTGGAATGCATTTGCTGTTACCATTTGTTCACAGTTTTCACGAAGAGACAATTTTCTCATCGGATTGCAAAACATAGGTTTAGAGAAAATCGAATTTTAAGTTTGTCTCTTCTTCAAACGCTTAATTTCCTAGAATTTTCACCAATGCTACTCCATGAAAGAGGGGATGTTACATGACACAAAACTAATATTTCTAGAACTTAATTAATGTCATTTATTTTGTAAACAAACAAGATTGTCTGTTTGTGAAATGCCAAAAATCTTGTGACTTTTGGTTTCGTCAAAGTGAAAACGGCACACACAATACACGCTTTTGCCACATTGTGCAACATTGTTTTTGTATAAATTTCTGGAGTCAAATTGTCTCTTCATGAAAACTACAAAACCAGTTTTGCCCACGGTTTTGATCTTTTTGCCAACGTTATATCTATGGAAGACAACATAGTCTCTTCGTGAAAACCTAAACTGCAGTATAGTTAAATATTACCTCACAGGGAGCACCGTGATTTGGGTGATTTCAGTAGATTTGGTAAAAAACGATTACATCCAGTTGTAAGCATTACCTAGCCTAGTTGATTTTGCCAAAAAAACCAGAAACCTGAAAAAAAATCATGACTTGGGGTCAAATTGTCTCTTCGTGAAAACTGTGACAATTGGTTGCTATATACTTACATAAACTGGATCAGGTTTATTGAAGCAAAATTAGGAATTTTACAATGTGCCAAGTAGATCATGGCTATCAAATTATGAACACGCATGTACCACTTTACTTTTAGTAGTTCTCAGAGTCATCATCCCAAATTTCTGTCAGTAAAATTGGATTTGTATTGATACCTGAGTAACCATGGTTGAAGTCAAGTACATGTGCGACACCAAGAATTAATGCTAAGCCTACAACCCAAGAGGTTTGTGTAGCTAGGAAATGAAATGGGTTAAGTTTGCAACAAATGCATGGTGAAAACTTTGTTGGTCTGTACATGTACCCGCTTTGGGGGTTTTCTCTCCAGTCATTTTAACTGAACTCCAAGCCAAAATCTGTAAGCTAAGCCTTAACCCAGGGACACTGAGACATCAAAGGCAATTGCCTCAATGCCCATTCCAATGTCCAAGTAGACAAAGTTGATTTTCTTATAAAAGTGCCATTTGCAAGTGAGAATGGCCTTGCCGTTTAAGAACGATGTTCCTGCCGTGCTTAGCCTGTATGGGAATGTCCTTTTCACTACTGTTAAGACTTTCCACACCACATCTGCTAATATCAAAATACATGTACCTGCTCAAAGTATGACGGAGAGATTGGATGTAACAAATACCATCTCATCTTGGTACTTCCTTCTCACACATAAATGAAACCATTATGAAAATGACATCATGAAATACTTATCGGAGCACTTCTTACTCTGACAGCAAATTGGGGTGTTTGTTTGGTTCCACACTACGGTGAATATGATCCAGCCTTTACACAGAGGATTTCCAACTTTGTATTCAGCATCTGTCTGCTAAGCATCTTCAGTCGTGTCAAGACACCGTATCAATAGCATTTCTTCTCTCACCAAGCAAAACATTAATGTAAACTCGTATGTGGAGTTGTGATACAACTGCTTGTAAGAGTTCCACTCCTCGGTCCCTGAAAGTCTGGTTCATTACAAAGTAGATGATGACATTGATGAAACTGTTAGCAACAAGGAGCCAGTGAGACAGAAACATGAAAAGGCTTGGGACCAACACAGCTTCCAACACGCGCACCAGGGTAGTGATGATGGCGTACTGGTTGAAACAAGTGCAGCCGGCAACCGCCGTGCTTGTTGTCATACGGAACAGTTTGGCTGTGTGTTTGGACCTTTTGCCTGATGCATGCCTTCTCATTTCAGAATTCTCTCCCATTGAGTGCGAATTGACTATTGCTGATGGTCTGATCAGGAGCACTTGTTGGCATTTTCTTTTGATGAGTGACTTACAAACTTTCGCTGAAGTAACAATTACTGTTAGCATGTATGGAAGGTCTAAACTAAAGAAAACAATGGCAGTATAGGCCATGCTCTTGTTGTAGTGTAGCATGCAGTAATATGTCTCGGGAACATACTCAAATCCAACGAAATTTTCCACAAAAGCTGGGAGAGAGAGCAAGACACCCGTTACCCAGCTGATGAGGATGGTGATCAGAGCAGCTTTCTTGGTAAGAAGACGGCAGTATTTCAGGGGATGCACTATAGCAATGTATCTCTCGAGGCTCAGGGAAGCCAACATCATTGCGGATACAGTGAAGAAGATGTGGCTGGAGAAAGCCATGACGAGGCATACTGTGCAACTGTGAGGCCATCCGCTGTGCCGGATGGCAGGGTAGATGGACAAAGACGGTGACACACCGAGGCCCAAGTCTGCACAAGTCAGGGATGTCAGTAGGTAGCCATGGGGGCTCCGAAGAGACTTTGTCAGGACAATTACAAACTGTATGATCAAATTCAGTCCATTACCGATCAGAATGAGGAGTATAAGCGTAACAATAACGGCCACTTGTACATGGCGCAGTATTCCATTGCAGAGTCTGTTTTCACCTGAACCTCTTTCCCATTTATCTTTATTGCAAGTCTCATTGGAGTATGCCGAATCCATTATCAACCTCTGTAAGACATGAACCCAACTGTTCCATTACAGAAATCTGCTAAAAGTCCAACGGTTTCCAAGCACGACATTGTAAACAGTCCATCTTCACTCAAGAACTCTCAAGTTGCTGTTGCACTGTCGTACATTACAAGCATTGCCATTTCTTGCAAGGTTTTTGTAATCTGGTCTGCTTGGAGGTCCGTCTATCATCTGATTAAAAATGTCCGATGCATGACAAAGTCAACAACAAAACAGTTTTAATTAAAAATACGCTTCCCTTGGTTTTGCATGCATCCCATTTCAGTCCTGAACATATCACGGTCATTCTGTCAATAACATATGACCTAGGCTGGATGCTTCATGACTGTAATTTTATCATAGCCAAAAGGTTGAACCCTTCTAACTTAATTAATTTTTCTCCTCTTCGCAAACCCTGTAGATTCATCAAGTAGTGGGAATTGATCAGGGGAAACTGTTTGCAGCAGTACATTTTTATTAATTACTTTTGATGATGGTTGATTGTGTTCAGAGTGATTTTCCCTTTGAATTTCTACTTTATCTTCATTGATGTCCATCTGTTTTTGTTCCAAGTCAATCATAATTTCTAGTGTAATAATCAAGCATTCAAAACAATATATACTATCACTTCTGTGGAACCTGTTGGTTAAAATGTCAGATGAAATATTATACTTTAAATAATGTTGTAAGTCTACCAGGATGCCAGTAGTTTTAATGATAAATCTTTAAATTAATCTGAGTGAGAAACTTTGTTATGAATATGACTGCAAAGATTGTATGGATATTGTATTACTGTCTTCTGGTCATTGTTATTTTACCTCACCTTGGTATCACGACCTTGCATGAAGACTTTCTGTCTGGTTGCTGTGCGATACCTAATATCTTAACCAAGAGGTCTATTTGCATTGAATTGCACCCATTTGCTCAAGGTACATAAATAGGTTGAATCAATAGGAGTGGGTGGCTATCTCAGTGATTGCAGTACATGCATGTTTCGTGGTGAAAAGTTACAGGTTTGAAGGAGTCCACCCGGCAGTTAATGTGACAAGGTTTTTTACATGCTTTGTGGTTCACTGTGTTTTTATTTTATAATGGACAGGGATAGTGTATTTGAAATTTTTCTACAGCCGTATGTTTCATATTCCAAAAATGCTAAGGAGACAATGGATCATTTAAAATGAAAGATTTCTGATGAATGAAAGCTACATGTAGACTGACCAGAGAACTTTGGAGCAGTTTTTACATACGACGAACACACATCACCTGGAATGAAACTGATGCTCTTTTTTTCTTCTTTCTTTGTTAGAAGCAGAGTCTAAAGCAGCTGACACAGACACATCAACCAGTTCAACCCCTGTACCCTCAGCTGCATCAGGTAATGTTAGGTCATCTTCCATTGAGAAGGAGACAAGACCTCCCGATCTGAACCAGGCAAAGGTTGTACACACAGATAGCCTAGAGGTTATCAACCCCCTGCGATTCAGCCCCACTGTGGATGACATTGATGGTAGGAATGGTGGGAGCAGAAGTCTACATGGGGTGGGTCACTCTGAAACTGGAAACTCTAGACATGGCACCGGTGAAGGCCCACCCATAAAATGGAGAGAGAAGCTGCCCTATGCCTCACCGAGAAAACACAAGGAGAGCCGAAAGAACCGTAAGAGCAGTCGTGGTAGCAAGCATGGCGCTGAATCCAGCCAACATCGTACTCACTCAAGGTATGACTCGTCCGATTCCGATTCCTCAAGCGATAGCTTAGGGAGGTCTTGGAAGGAGAAGACGCCAGTCCGCAAGAGTAAACCTCAGAAGAAGCTGAGAGACTCTTTCTCCTCAGACAAAGAGTTTGACACTGACCTGGAGAGAATTATGGCACTGTCAGATAAGGCCGACGCATGCTTGAACATTGTCAACTCTGTCTTAGAGATGTCTTTGGACAAGGAAGTTGACGAAGCTCTCCAGGAACAAATCCAAGCCCTGCAGCCTGGTCTACCGGAATCTGAAGGAAATGTGCATCAACCAGACAGCACTGCTGATGTTATCGTAGAGAGCGATACAGACGTTCATTTTATCAAACAGATGGCTGTGCAGACGGTAGTTAATGCTATTGCAGAAAAAATGATGCGGGAAGCTAACAATCAAACAGTTGAGCCCAAGTATGATAATGACTTACCACTAGCAAATGGTTTTGCAGCGGCTCATCGGACAAACAAAGAACCCTCAGAAGGAGACTTTAAGCCTCCTTCCAAAGAAGACGCACAAGCTTTGGCAGAGATTAATTTGGAGGACATACCTCCTGTCCGTTATACAACAACTGCAGAAGTAGAAGAATCCAACCCATATGTTGAAAAGGAAGCCGACAGGAGGGGGTTGAAACTGGATGTTAATATCCCTCCTGAACCCGCACAGCTTTTGTCACCTCGGACTTCGTTGTTTCGTGGCCCGGAAGACAAAATCTTTACCCTGGATGAAATCATCGATGCTCTCCCAGAATCTGCTGTGGATGAGAACCTTCACCAGAGCCAAGGTTCTGCCTCCCCTGTTGACAAAACACAGAAATTTACATTTCTAGGGAGCTACCGCCAAGCAGAGCCTAACTTTATTGACGGGTCTGAGCTGACAGACTCTCCCTTCCAAGATTCACCCGCTGAAGAGTCACCTCCTGTGGTACTGACTCGACTCAAAGACATCTTCATCCTGGAAGGAGACGCCATGAGACTGGAAGTCCAAGTACAAGGTTTCCCAGTTCCTGAGGTGACTTGGTACAAGGATGGCACTGAGCTGCATCCCTGCAAAAATCTTCAACTGAAGTTTGATGGAGACGACACCTGGGCTCTGATCATAAGGAATATATTGGCTCGTGAGGGTGGAGTGTACACATGTACTGCTAGGAATAAGCTGGGATCAACATCAACCAGTGCAGTCATTAATGTGGCAGGTGAGTAGTCATCAGTATTCTAGTTGAGTCGTCATGTTCAGTCTTAAGCCAAGATGTAAGCTATTCAAATTAATGGTAACAAAGTATTCCTTTGTTATTGTTTGCTCCTTGATGGATGACTGGTCTTGTGAAAAAAAACTTACGATAGACTCCACTACAATGCTGGTCTTTAAACTTATTATTAATCTCTGCAAATGTCTCACAATGGCAAGAAAAAGTCTCAATTTTATCATGACAGGTACATGTAATTCAATTTTTTTGACCAAGATAAACATACATATAAATTGCACAGTACTATAGATTTACAGCTTTCTCTTTTTGTCTGATAATAAAACCCACGTTATCTTATTTCTAGGTGGCACATATATGTAAGATCACTTTAATTGGCTTTAGCATTTAGTATGTTGGCAGTACATGTAAGTCCTGTATAATCAACCTTATCCTGCTCAGGTTATAAAATGTAACTTACATGTACATGTATGTAGAAGTAACATTTATTCCCACCTTGCAGCAATAACAGCTGAAGTAGAGATAGAAATATGAAATGAAACCCAGATGAAATGGCACAGCTTTTCACAGGTGTACCAAAGTACTTTGACAAAAAGACAGTTTCCAAAATGTGGTACTGTTTAATTACCTTTGCATTTGTGTCAATATTTGTTGAGGTTAGAATGGTACTCCTTATGTTACAAGTGATTGTTAAGGAAAAACTGTGGTCTTCATTCTGTTGCAGGGCTAGCAGATGGCCCAAATGTTACAGATAAACGTAAAAAACAAAGTCTTCACGGGGGAAATCCCTTCAGCCCCACAGCCTCAATGTCATCTTCATCAGCCCATGATGATGACGTCTTTGTCACCAAGGCTAATGTCAGGCACAACCTGCCAAAGATTCTTCTCAGTGTAGATGATAGTGCCACTGATGACATCACTTTAGGTGACAGCGGGGATGAGGACTTACAGGAACTTACAACTCACTTGACTGAAAGCATCCACTTGGACAGAAACTCCAATTGGGCCGACAACTCGTCGCCAGACATCAGCAGGTCAAATTCCAACAACTCTGACAAAGGCACGCCTTTCCGTCTAAACAAACGTAACCGTCCAGACAGTAATATAGAGAGTATTCGCCATCGGAAAGCTTTCAGGAAGCATCCTAGCAGGGATAGCATGACATCGACTGAGCCGTGTTCGACAGGTAATTCAACATCTGAGAGCGATACGGAAGGTGCTCCTAAATTTGTTCAACCCGTGACGACGAGGGAAATTCTTGAAGGACAATCTGTGAAATTGAATGTGTGTGTGACCGGTGACCCTGAGCCCAGTGTCCGATGGTTCCATGATGGATCAGAACTCAAGAGCACAGGCCGCATCAAATGTTCCCAAGGTACACATAGCCGTAATGGTTGTATATGGAGGCTGGAAATCTCTAATGTCAGGACTAGTGATGATGGAAGATATGTCTGCAAGGCAGAAAACAGCATTGGTGTCAAGAGCTGTGGTGCTTTTCTGATTGTAGAGGGTAAGAAATCTCAAAAAGAGTTTGGCAATTTCTTTAATAGTGGCTTTAGAATCTTTGAACCACCAGACGTGCAACATTTCCTCAGATGAAGTAATTTCCTGGATTTTTAACTTTTACAAATTGAAAACAAGTGTACAAAGTATTTTGTGGTTTGAAATTTCCTAGTTTTCCTCTGTTTCCCCAAAGGCACGCCTGGACAATATCTTACACCTTCTTGCCAGTATTATTTCTCTCTTAATTCATATCCAATCTTGTGATCAGACAACAGTTATAAATGTTTTGTGCCGATTTATTTGTACAGAGAACTTTACAAGATGTCTACTGTCCTTTGTCCAACAAAATCAGAAGAATCAAGTCATTTTCAATTGCCATTTTTTTAATGTTATACGTGTGAATTCAATATACCGGTTCATGTACATTTCTGTCAGAACTGTTATTCTTTGACCCCTCGACTCCAAATGTACAATGAAAGACCATTTCAGTTAATCATTAAAACATCAATTATTTGCATGAGAGCTTTGACAGAAGGGCATCTCAAATGGATTGGGCACACTTATTCTAGACTCATTTCATTGAAACTTGACCTATTTGTTTTCCCTCAAAGAAGGAACTCACTATCCAGAATGGTCTACGAGTTTAGCTTCTCCCAAACAGTGCTGTTGAAATTATGCAGAGAGTGACTTGTGTTCCTGTTGCAGCTCTGAATGCCCATGATGGAGGTTCACTTGAGGAGGATGACAGGATTGTCTCCCGCCTCCTCATGGAGCGAGAAGGGGAGCAGAGTCATGGTGAATCATCTCACATCGAGGAGGTAAGTGTCTTATGACCACTCTGTGTTCTGTTCATTTAGCCGGTATTCTTTGAGGTAGAGACCCGTCTTTGATAAATACGAGCAGCAAACTGACAGCAACAAACTGTTCAGCATAACTTCCTGACGTCTTGTCCTTTGGATGGGTAGGCCATAATCATGTGGACTGCATTTTGGTTCTTGCCAGGATTTGCTGAAGACATTCACTGTTGACTCAGACTATAGTGACTCTGGTGGCAGGATGTGTGTCAAGAAAGGTGATCAGGTGGAACTACTAGATGGGAGAAATAAAGACAGATGGCTGGTCAGACACAAGACCAACTCAAATATGGTAATAACTGACCGTTGATAAGCAGTTGGTTGATTTTATAAAACTATGTAAATCATTTTAACCTTCTGAATGTGAGAGCAAACCTGATCTATTCAGGGCAGTGGTGGGCATATGAGGTTTCTGTCAAATAAATAACAGAGTCTGTGTAATAAATACAGATTACAATCTTTGCTGAGTTGAAAGTGTTTGCACCTAAGTACCAGCATTTGCCATGTTTACTTTTAAAAGGCAATGGTACTTTTGGAAGCCCATTTTTTGTCATTCTTGACACTTGCTGTTACAGATTGGATACATCCCGTGCACACTGTTGAAGAGAACTCCTTCCTCAGCCTCTGAAAAAGAAGAGAGGAAGATTATCTACAACTTCATCTCCAAACAGAGTAAGAATGTCTTGGAGTGATAGGGACTAAAAAGCACCAACAAAAAACATGTTTTTGAAATAAAAGAGTTTAAAAAGTTGGATTTTTGGTTAGAGATTTAAAACTCAAACTGACTGGAAAAGATTTTATTTACCACTTTTATCGCAGTTCGCATCTTCACAAACAAGCATTGTGTGATGTTTTGAAGTATGCTGTTCAGCTTCATATTCAGCTTCAGCTTCAAAAATTCCTTGATATGAGCAGTCTCAAATGTAAATGTCCCCTTCATTAAATTTTGTGTCAGTTTTAATGTCACAAGTTCTGTCTAGATCGGATGGATCGTTGCGCCTGTGTGTATTCCTGATTACCAAATGTAATCCTGTCTATGTAGGTATTGAGAGACGGCCCAGTAACAGCATGAAGCAACATTCACGTGTCAGTAGACACACATCACTCCAAGAAGGTCAGCTCTCTGAACTGGACGAGGGAAAGATAATTGAAGATGTACGTGGAATCTCTTTACATCCACATTTCCTAATCTGCCCTGTTTCTGTCCAGTCCAGTCACCAAACTTTCTTCCATTCCCCTACTAGACTAACCCATTAACAATCCCATGCCAAACTAGCAAACAGTTGCAAAAACCATGAAGCCACCTGGGGGGTGCAGGGAGGGCAACTTGCCTCCCCCCCACACCAAAAGCTGGATACACCGCTGATTGTGCCTGATGCCATTATCCCTTTATTCCCCTGTCACCGTTTTCTTTCTGCACACTTCCTTGAATCAACACTTTATCCTTTGACACAAAGTTCTAGTCATAATGGCAATGTCCACATCTGGGACTGCATCTGAAACAGGTATTGTTGCCTAGGACTACGTGTAAGTTCACAGTTGTTCATAAGTGGCAAAAGTACAAAGCTATAGCCACTAAATGCCCCGGTTTCAGATATGGCTTAATGAGCAGTCAAACACACTTGGTCTAACGTATTATTTTGACCTTTTATTACATGCATGAGTGTACTCTAGCACATGTACTTTTCACTGTTAGCAGGTATTTGAGCATGTCCTCCATAACAAACCCCTCTGCTCGTTGGAAAGATGAATCACATATTTTCACCAAACTCATCTACTGTAGTCAGTTATTGCACCTGTTGTTTATTTTTCTTGCATGCTTCATTTGTGCACCTGCACTGCACTAATACTCACCTGATCCATCACTTCACCCTTCCCAGTTTCCTGAGCCTGAGGCAGTCCAGGTATAGTTACCGGTACTTGACTTTGCACTTTAAATAAATGTCTTCCATCAAAGGTCTGTTTCCACTCTATATGCACACATCCACATTTTAACACTCAACGAATGTTTTTCTGATGGCTGTTGACAAGATCTGCTTGGATGATTCATCAACTGCTACTTTCACCAAGGTTTTGTGTAAAAGATGGCAGTATATTTATGTTGAGCTGGGACACTTGGCTTGCACTTCAAAGTTGAAAAATGGACGTAAATTATCAGAACAGTTACCCTTTCAAAGCAACAGTGCGTCTTTTTAAATAGTGCATAAGGAACAGTGTCAGTGTAAATCATCCGATTTGTCATTATTTTTTGGAATCTAATCACAGCAAAATCAAAGCAAAGTCATTTTGGAAACCCAACTATTTTGTCACCCTTTTGGAGCAGGTCACATAAAGAATAATATTTAATCTCACTTCAACAAAGATGTGACAACTACTTCTGTTTCCTCCCCCCAGTCATATGATCCCTACATGGCAGTTGCTTCCTATACTCCAGGGGCAGAACAGAAAGGTTTCATATCCATGACTGAGAACCAAGTCTTTGAGGTCCTGGATTCCAACAATGCTCTCAATTGGCTGGTCCGTGGTGAGAATGGTGACGTGGGCTGGGTACCGGCTAGCTATCTGACTCCTTACGTGAGCGGCGGTCACAATGGCACCAGGCGGGGGTCGAGGAGTTTGTCGGAGGAGCGTGATGACTTGGAGGCAGAAGATGGAGAGGAAGGAGACAGAGAGGTTGGGAGTAAGGAGAAGGAAGCCATGTTGAAAAGAGGGTTAGTGTCATGTGATTTGTCGTGACCTTTTTCAGAACCTAAGTGTACTGCATTGATCCATATTTTTGAGTAAAGCTGGTTCAAGTATGCCCTCAACGGAAACATGAGTTAGACTTTAATGCCATTGATGCAGTGACAAAGCGCTAGGGGAGATGGTATGGATTTGTACACATTCTGCTGAAAATTCTTGCACTTCTAAGGCGTGTTCTACCTGCTTGATTTTTTGTTAAGTGGTCAGAAGAACCATCTACTGTTGCATCCACAAGAAGTTTGATTTCACATCCTGGGATGCTGGGATACTGGTCAATCAGCCTCTAGGATTCCAGAATAATACGTTGTCAAGATAGACGGTTGAAAGTTAATGTCTGTTTTTATTTTGAATGAGTGTCTGGTTTTATTATGTTCCACAGATTTGTATTGAGGGAACTTCTTGACACAGAACGAGACTATGTCAAGGATCTTAAGTATGTAACAACACACTTCATTCCTCCTATTCAACATCCTAACGTCCCGATAATCCTAAAAGGCAAGAAGGACGACATCTTCTGCAACCTGCAAGAAATCTATGACTTCCACAACACGTAAGTCAAATCAGAGTAGTTGGTTTGAGTCTTGGTATTGGGCACCTTTCAAAGTTTCATTTGTGTGTAGTTTAAACTTAAGCTAAAGGTAGATTGGGCTTGTAAATTTTTGCACTAAGCATCATACAATCAGAAACTGTTTATTGGGCCAGACTTTCCAATTCTTGTAGTTGAGCTTTTCAACATTTGTTCAATCTTGACAAATGTGTTTTCAGGCTGAATGAAATGATTGAAGCCTGGTACAGACTCGGCTGTAAATGTTGCACTTTATGTATTTTTGAAGTCTAATCAATTGCAGCTGTTTCTTTGCAAACAGTAAATTCCTTCATGAGTTGGAAGAGTGTGAAAATGATGCCAACAGCATCGGCAGAGCATTCATTAAATGGGTGAGTGGTATAACTACTGAAAACTCTGAAGTTGAGTTTAAGAAATATCTTCATAGCAGTGCTGATATGCGCCACAGGAAAATCCTTGAAAAGTTGTGCAGATATGTTGAATCAACACTCCATAATCTTAGATAGAACTTCATTTTTTTACAAAAGGACCGTTGTATATGGCATAACACATGGTTGTTTTTTCACTGAAGTGTCATTTGACAAATGAGAAAAGGATTAACATTGAGGAGATTCCAACTTTTTATCACTTTTCTTTTTCCTATAAACCAGCAATCATCGTTCATTGAGCTGCATGTGAAATACTGTAAGAACAAACCCAAGGCTGATGCTGTGCTGACATCGGCAGCAAAAGCATTTTTCCTGGTAAGTTTCACTCAGGTAGAAAGAAAAAAAAACACTATTGGACCCTGAGGATCAGATGCACTCCCATTGTGATGCATTATGGGTTTGTGCAATTTCAGTCGAAAATTGGTCAATACATTATCGGACAGAAAAAGGAAAAAAACTACAGAGAAATTAAGAAGACCAGAACTGCCAACTATTGAGAGGACATGTTGTGCTTTATTAGTTCTCATTTGAATCCAGGTTAGTTTCCAGCTGTCATAAACAAGTGGAATTAGAAAATGGAGTTGAATTGATAAAGAGGAATAATATGCGTTCACGTGTCCCCAGAGGGCCAAAGTTTTGTATAACTGGGATAGGCTCAAGTGAAACTTTTGTGCTTTTTTTGAAACTAAGTTAAAAAAACAAAAAGAGTCTTGAGACGCCATAGAGATGCCAGCAACGCATAACGTTTATTTGATTTTGTCTTTGCTTTCTTGCCATCTACAGCAATACGGCGGTGGTACTGGTCCCGGTGAGCTGGGTCTTGGTGATTATCTGATCAAACCAGTGCAGAGAATTACAAAGTACCAGTTACTTTTGAAAGAAATCATCAAATATACATCCAGAGCTAAAGAGGACTGCCAAGAATTGGAGGTATGGCGTGCAAAATCTAACAGTAATCTGGGAATCAAAATTAAACATTTTCAGGAGTTTATTTTATTGTAAATAACGGTCTGACATAATTGAATAATGATACTGCTTTCTTATATTGCGAAGTATCCACCCTGCTGGGTGCTCAAGGCTCACTATCATTGTCCTGCACACTGGGCTCACAACAATTGACCATTCCTGAAACCATCTCAGCCCCCCGGGGAGCATACTAGCTGATGCTGCCCTATCAGGCGCACACGGCTAACATAACCAGATCTGCCCTCACAGGTACCCATTTTACTCCGGGGTGGAGAGAGGCACAAGCTTGGGGTAAAGTAACTTGCCCAAGATCTCAACATGCTGCCACCAGCTGGATTCGAACCTGTGACCCCTATGATCAGAAGCTACACACCCTAACCACTTGGGTCACATGCCCCCCCAATTTGATCGACTTTAATTGAATACATGGATTAGAATGGACAGATTTGCCCCAGGATAGCATAGTCACAGAATATTACTTAATTGTTAGATAATTCGACATTTTTCGGTCACCCTTTATGTGGATTCCAGTCCTATTAAGTGCTTAAACAACAGTTTTACAGATTGCATTGCTTCTCACTTTGTTAAAGTTGGTTTCGCTGTGTTTTGAAGTTTGGACTCCTGTAATGGGACTGTGGATTTTATCTTACAGTTGGCGCTGAATGGGATGATTGAGGTACCAAAGAGAGCTAACGATTTGATGTATCTGAATCTGATTGAAGGATTCCAGGTAAGACATCAACTCATTTCTGGAAGTCTTACCGATGTTCCCTTGGATATGGCAGCTTGTCACTTGGGGTTTGGCTTGGAGGTCTAAATGTCTAAAGCATCTACATATGCAATGAAAAAGTTTGTTGTATTTAAACTGCGTGAAGGGTTTTCTGTTAACAACGTGAACATTACAAATTCAGAATAAACTAATGTAGCTATAGGTGTAGTAACTAAATGGTTCATTTAGTGCACTGGCCTTATGCAGGTTTCGTTCTCTACTTACTTTTCCTCCAGCGTGATGTGACTGAACTGGGTAAACTTTACCGTCAAGACTGCTTCTCTGCCTGGTCAGGCAAACCCAAGGGACGAGGCAAGGAGAGGCATCTCTTCCTATTCAAGGATATTCTTCTCTTCACCAAGCCCAAGAAGGAGGTCAAGGGAGATGTTGTAGGCTACATCTACAAGAGCCACTTGATGGTAGGCAATGCTTGATGTGCAACCGTACCGGTACCTACTTGGAGCTACTTTTCAGACTGCAATATATTGAGATCCACTGGAACCCCAACCCCTCTAGTCATTTTTGCCAGAAGCCTTTGAACAATGGCAGTTAAAATCTTGCTAGTCAAGTTCCATGTGCTGATTCCTTAGGAGGTTAAAGTCATTAACAGATATTTCTGTGAGGAAAACTACAGACGCTTTTTCATTACTAAAGGCTCAGTGAAATCGTTCAACACCAAATTGTTTTCCTTTATTGCATCAGAAAAAAAGAGACAGAGCAAATTTATAATGAAGTTATCCAACTACAAAACTATTTTTGAGACACTTTAAAACCTTGTCCGAAATTGAACCTAGGTTATTTGAATTGTTTTTTGTTTTAGGTTGGTGCTCTGCATGTCTCTGAAGATCAGTCAGATGAGAGACGGTTTGAACTTTCATCACAGGGAAGACTGTCACCAACGACAATCCTGGTAAGTTGTCATGTTGTCCATTGCTTCGTTTCTCTGTCTGGAGCTTTAATCAGCAGTCATTCAGCAGGTGAAATTTCTATATAAAATATATATGGCAGGTTCCTCAAAATATGGACAAGATATAGATAATGGTCGACTTTGGGGACTCATTTTTCCTGCAGTCGGCAGTTGCGAACGTCATTCGATTCTGTCAAAAAAAATCAATTGCAAAAAGCAGCGAATAAAATCAAAATCGATGTACAACACACGCTTTAAAGAAAGTGCAGAAAAGCACCCCCAAACCATCATCCCTTTACGACTGGACCAATCACATTTTCTTAAAGTACGTTTCCGGAAAACGTAGTCCAAAATATCGATAGTGGGGTTTTGCTGCATCATGGGCTGTTTGACCTTTGCCCTCTTTTTCATTCAGTATTTATGAGCCCCTCCATCCAATGGCGATGCTCCGGGATTTTTCTCTTCGTACCAAGGTTTCTCAAAAGAAAATCATTCATACTGAATAACGTTCACAAAAAAAATGATGTCCAAGACGTAAAATACGATTCATGATGAAAATCTAATGCTCAGAGTTGTTGATTCTAATTTAATAAGCGCTTTAACATACATCAGTTGAAAAATATACTGAATTCTCCTTTTTGTTGAGAGAAGTTTTGAAGTCCTCTGGTGTAAATACTTTTTGACCTAAAACTTTAAATTAATTCAGCTCTATTTAATTTGCAATGGTAGCCAACCAAATGCCCACCAAATGTACACAGTATGCCTAATTATCCCCAAATGATCATTTTCATAAATCTGAAGGTGCTAATTTGTATTTTACTTTTTAGAAGTTTTGAAAAATGACATTTGGAGTTTCATTGTGGTCCATTTTATGAAGAACATGCCATAAACATGTGTACTAAGCATATGTTTAACAGTGAGATGTGTTTATTTTGTACCAGCCGTAACTAATGGTTTTATGACTTGTAAAGATGCAACAAAAGCATTGAATTGATAATTAATATTAAACATAGAAACAAAGTAGGCACATCACTGGAGTTATTAGCTTTGTATAGAAACAATCACATTCCTGAGGATTTGTGAGCCCGTGTTTGTAGAAATATTCAACCTGAATTTCCTATTTTCTGCTTATTATGCATTTAGGCCAAGACAAAGTATGTGAAGGAGGCTTGGGTGAAATCTCTGCGTGACTTGATAGCAGAGGTCCCCAGAGAACTTCGTGAAGGAAAGTCCTCCAGCGAAAGACGCTTTGGTATGTATAGCATTCCTCAAACTTGCTGATGCCAGGTAGTGGGTAACTTGCTTAGTACTTACTTGTTTATGCAATTTGTTTGGGCAAAAAATAGTTCTGCAGTTCAGAAATATGTCGGCCTAAGTTCTTGGCATAGAAAAGAAGCATAGCTGAGCGTAAAAGGCAAAACTTAGTGTGTTGATTTTTTTAGCAGATTTGTCATTTTGTAATTTTTTTTTAAAGAATTTGTTGATATGAAAAATTGAATTTGTTAAATTGGACACATTTAATCTGTAACACATTATGTGTCATGCGGAGCAATCCCTTAATTTTGTCACATTTTGCTTCATTGTTTGACTTGCTGTTTGCTGCAAACATCTTGTTTGGTTCGCCTAGTCATATCGTCAGTTTTATCAGCATTGCATTTGTTTATTGTGTTTTGATTCATATTTTATTTCCATTTATAAAGGCGAAAATAGCTTAAATGCAATACATTTTGCCTAGCAAAGATTGGGATTGATGTGGTGTCCAATTTTATTTTCAAGCAAACCTGGGATTGTTAGAGATGATTTGTTTTACCATTCCAAGAGTAATGCAATACGCTCCTCTACAGATGACAATGTATTATGCACTGTGCATTTTGCTCTCATCTGGTGCGTTCTGTTGAACATACCGTGCTGTTGAGCATACCGCACACAGGTTAATCAGGTTGCTTGAAGATAAATTGAGTGTCCTAATACTGGAATACATGGATCACAGAAACTGTGGGTGTTCACTTGGTGTGTGGGGTTCAAATGAACTGGTTTTACTCTTGACGATATTATTCCTTGGTTCACTAATATTGTGTGTTTTGTTACTTTCAAATTCAGGTGTTGCCCAGCATAGCACTATCACTCTAACACTAATTTATTGACAACAGAAATTACAACTTTTGCTGTATTTTTGACTGGATATGTAACCTTTGACTTATTCCAAAATTAACAAAATTTCAAACTAATTGCTCTGTAAAAGAGAAGAAAAAAAGTTTTAACAATGGTGTGAAAAAAATATTTGTTGCCCTTTTGTTTATTTTTTATTCTTTCCTCAAATTTTGCAGCAGTGAGTTTTTGTTCAAAGCTTGCCAAGTGTTTGAGCAAAGATTTCCGTTGCCATAGTTTTGATTTGCCCATTGTGTGTTCCACCATTTTCCTCTCATGAACACGTTTGCTGTGACGGGATTCGTTTGTATACCGCCCTCCATCCTCAGACCACTCACCTATCATCCCGCGTAAACGTCGTGCCACTTCCATGCTCTTATCCGGAAGCTCCTTGTCCTCATCTCAGTTGGAACCAGGTATTGCGTAGCGATTCCACTAGGAATTGTAGTCACTCCACAGGGAATGTTTTCGGGAAGAAGTTGTTAAAGGGAATGCCTGATCCATTGGAAACCATGGAGATTGTCAAAACTTTCATAGGCTTTGTTGCATTTGGAACGGGCCTGCTCTGAACAAGGGATATTCCAAGAGAATCCTCTACATGTTCTTTTAACGTTTCTCACTTAACCTTGCATGGATCAACATTCTTACGTGAGAACAAGTGTCATTCCAGGCAATTCCCAGTGTGTACAAATGACTTGCATCCCAGATTGGAACTCTCCAGAGCTTCTTATATACCTTTCTGAGCATTTCAACTTTTGAGGGACTGCATTAACAAAATCATGCCACTGCTGAAATAAAATCCAATCAGTCTTTTTGAAGAAGTTTGTTGACCTCTGTAAGACTTGTTCTCAGACATCTAGATAGATTTCTATTGAAAAGGTCATCAAAGCTTGTGGAGTTTGGCTTGTGATAATTATTAAGTAGATATCACCTGACAAAGCAAGCTATGTCCTTTTACAAACAAGGGAGAAACACCTGTAATGTGAATACATTGTATGTGTGCAACCTTATTGGGAGAAGAAGTCCAGAATGTGTCAGAGAACCAATCCAAGTTAATAACAGAAATATCTGACAACTCAAAGCTCCAAGTTGAGTATAGTTTGGAAAGAATGGAAATGAACAGGATATCATTAACCTCACTGTCAACTAACCATTCTGTCTTGAATTTTAACCGACCATTAAACTGATAGCACCCTTTACTATCAAGGTGTACTAATAATGAATATTCACTAAACACTAATGAATATTCACGAAACGCAGTTGGCAAGGATTCAGCTAGAAACAAATCATGAAGATACATGGAGCCTCTTAGAAATTAAAACGATATGGTTTTTCCTCTGGCAAATCATTTCTGATTGGTCTGAAATCCTTACCTTGTCAGTTCTAATGCTGTCTATGAGGCCCCAATCATTTGGAGTATAAATCTAGTAATTTGACCATATTTTAGGTTACTTTTCTGGAACCTACTGTCCATGTAGATCTAAGAACATGCAGTATCAAGTTGTAACAAGAAGTCTGTTTTTTCCCCCAAAGGCTTAAATGGTAATTTCAGCAAGTCGACAGAGTCTCTGATCAGCTTGATATCTAGCCCAACTTTACTGAGCATCCCCCGATCAGGCAGAGGAAGTATAGATAGCATGACTGGGTCCATTGACTTTAGCACCTTCACTTCGGTGAGTGCAAACTTCCTTTCAAGACATACTCAAATTAGCCAGGATAGAACAAATTAATTTTTTGGTAGTGTGTTTTATGTAGCTTTTATAAACTGTCTTAATATTATCACTTGTAGCTTGCTTCATGAGAGTGTGTGTGAGAATATGAGCGTTGTGCTCAGTTGGTGTTGTAACCCAGAACATATGACTGCAGTTGACAAACTAAGCAATAGAACTAAGCCCCATCCCATGGTTCTTTGACCAATCACTGCTGTGGTTTATGTCTGACATGCATGCATGCATGTGGATTCAACGTGTGTAGCTTCAGCGTGCAGTATGGCATTGGAGAGAAACACATGTTTCTTGCCCAGGTGTGTGCAATGGGCGGGGCTGCGTGGATCAGTCTATTGATGTGAGTTTTACCTGTTTGCTTCATCCCAGCTTGTTCCCTCTGTTGGAGCAATGTATGAAGTCCTTGAAGACTTGGTAGATGATGGTCATGAGACCAAAGAGATTCTGAAAGGTGACGTGGTCAAACTGCTGGAGGTCTGCGAGAACAACCTGTTCCACATCCAGACCATTCCAACCGATGAGACCAGCCCAGGGATGGAAGGCTATGTGACCCCAGGATTACTGAAGAAGATGAGTTTGGCTGACGGTGAGAAATGTTGGCTCCAGATTGCCTCAAGATGTCTGTTTGCCATTCGCAATTGCCTTGTTTTGGTCATATTTTCTGTGAATTTGAAGTAGTTGGGTTGAATAATTAACTTTATGTTGTGCTAATTTTTTGCTTTGTAGGTCCAACCACCTAACCAATTATGTTTTTTTTTTGCAACAGAAATGTTACTTTGAAGTTTCCCAAATGAACTTTGCACAGTACATATCCATATGCTTGCACTTACTTCACGATGTCAGATTGTCTTCCGTTTTCAATGTGTCTCCTAGAGTGATGTTTCAGAACCAAACATGACGCTTCCTGATGTCTTCGTCTTTTCAGAGCCTCCAGCTTTTACTGACAAGTTGAAACCTTGCCTGGTCAGCACAGATGAGTCAGCTGTCCTAACATGCTCCTTCTCTGGCAAGCCTATCCCAACAGCTACCTGGTCTCTACCTAGCCATCTGAATAGTGGCAATAAACGTGTAGAGATTATGAGCGCCGAGAACAACTCAACGCTCACCCTGCACAGGGTGACCATGTTAGATGCCGGAGAGTATACGTGTACAGTTGAGAATTCTAATGGATCTGTCTCCTGCATGGCCAAACTAGACGTCAGAGGTATTCTTTTGAACAGGATGTCTGATTACTCACATTATCAAAATATAGAGTTTCAGTTCTGTGGCTTAAATATATGTATCTTTTAATGTTGATCAGGTTATATCATCGATATTAATTTGTGACAAAATTGCCTTGCCAATCAGATCATAATGTTAGCAACTCTTAAATGTCTGGAAGTCAATTCCTTCAGAACTTTTGGAAAAAGAAATCATATAGAATTGTAGTGTAACTTTGAGTTTTGAATTATTTGCTGTAGCTCTTTGCTTATATGAGTGCTGTTTTTTCCCACAGAGTCCCAGTCAAGTATTGTTTCAACAGACCTCAACTTTGGCGATATTCATGACATCTCACGGGCACGTTCCTCTAGCCCCCTCACAACCCACTCGCTATCCGTTGAAGAGCCATCTATGGTCCGTTCCACCTCCTTGGAGAACCTGAAGACTCTGGATGAAGACTTTGATGTTCTTCCCGGGGAAATAGTCCGCGCCTCTTCCGTTTCTGGACGTGGAATGCTGAACAGCAGCAAGAAGTCAGGCAAGGATAAGATTGGAAGTTTCCGGAAGCACATCAAGAAGGCTTTCAGCACGGCAGGAATGGAGAAGGATAAGATCTTTGCCAACTTACAGAGATCACAGAGTGGGAGCAGTCTACAGTAAGTTCTTCTATTTTCACTCCTTTTTTGATTATAAATCATCAACAGTCTTTTAGCCAGATTGCATTTTCAAAGTGGAGCAACCAAATAAGTTTACTCATATTTTATGTTGAAGTCATTTTCACTTGGAGAGCATAAATTTCACATCAAGGAACTTTGAAAATGAACCCACAAAATGAAATCTTACATGCACAGTGACTCTGCTCATGCAAATGCTCAAAGAATAAATATAATTAAAGCAGTTGTTTGTAAGCTAACAAGTTGTGCAGAAGTCAAGTAGTTGCACATCTAACTTCTTTGTGAACAGGATCAACAAAAGTAGATGGAAGATCAATAACTGTCCTACAATTAAACCCTTAGGAATATGCTCTATGTATGTAATGTTTGACAGGGGTCAACCAGGGTCAATCATAATTACACAATAAGTCATCTATTTATCAAGATGGTAATCAGGAGCCTTTATCCCTGGTTTCCTGGATTTAAACATTATTATACACTGTGATTGCCAGTTTGTGACGTACGCGAGGTTTATGTCTGCACCACATCCTGGCCATCATATCATTGATATGCATAATTTCCAATGTGTTTGTGACCTTATTCAAACAAGAATCCACGCAGACGTCTGATAAACACAGAGCCTAGACATGCACAATCCACTGACATAAAACGATGAGCATTTTTTGGGAGGGGGGGGGTGAGGCAAGTGATGAGGCATCATCGCATTCAGTGGGTTGCTTTTGAAATGAGAAACAGGTTGTTGAGAATTTTTGATTAATTACACAGTGTGCCCTCATCACACTGTAAATGAGTATGATGCATAAGCACCCTAAAGAGCTCATTGCCAAAGCCATTGCATTTATTGAAAAAGACAAAACAAAATCACATTGTAGCTAAAAATTTATTGAAAATCTAATCATATTTTAAAAAAATCAAAATCATTCCAGACATTTTTTAACAGTAAGATCAGATTCTTGTGAGATAGTTTATATCAATGTAGAGAGCGCCCTCTAGAGTTAAGGCCAGGAAGTCTAATCAACCCCCCCTAAAAAAACCACATTAAAAATACATAAAACTGCAGTATCATGTCCTTGAAGAATATTGAACTTGTAGTTCATGTTTTCTTGCAGACATGAAGTAGTGTATTTCTGTATTAAATTTAGGATAGGCCTTTTTGATTTTGCCCTGTATACACCACACATTGGTGAACATATTTGAGTAAAAATGTGTGAGGATCTGAAATATTGTTCCTATAAGAATCTTTCTCAAGACCACAAATACATATGTTGCATATTCTACTTCCACAGTTGTCAAGTTGGTTGCTGTAATGCCATTAATGGTTACACAAGGGCCAAAATGAAGTAGTTATATCAAACCTTAGAAAGTGCACCCTTATAAGTGAGAAAAAAGTGGACATGTGAAATATTGGAAGTTTATTCAGTGAAATAAAAGTGTTGGAATAATGACCTCTCTGAAGAAAAATGATCTAATAACACAAACCACTAAAGACGCTTTTACTTGGCGACAAAATAAACCAACAGTATAGAAACAGAGAAAACAACATACAAATTAACAATATAATACATTAGGATTAAGTATTGACAGACAAACCTTGTTACTTGGTCAGTAATGTATACCCCTTTGTCAAATTATTTGCAAAAAAGGGGAAGATATATTGCTTTGTCCTGTATGCTGTGTCACTGACTTGTTGGATATACTTGCATGTTTCACGCCTACTGTACATTACTACCATACCACAATGTAATATTACACTCACCATGTGTTAACAGGGTCTACCCAATGATAATGCTTACATATTTGCAATGTTGATAGACAAGAAGGAGGCACACATAGACATGTCTAGATGCAGCAAGATTGATGAGTACTGATAGTTATTACTCAATCATCCTGGGTGAGAATTACTGGAACTGTCCTCTAAACATAGTTCCCAGTGCTTCTTTTAATTTCAGATTTCCATAGAGTGTTCAGTTGTGACATGTTTTACCTTGATGTAAACCAAAGATTTGTTTCAAGTAAAAATCAAACTGACTTCTTACCATTCATTCAAAACAATGTTCTCTTTGTTATTTCCGTTTGTGCATCGTCTACACGATGTACGGAATGCAACTAGCTAGTCTACAGTTTCTTTCCTCAACCCATGTACAGCCTTTTGAAAAATGTTGAATTCAAAGCCTTTAGACTAATAGAGTACCGGAGTGTGACGTCACTGTGAACGAGAAAGTGCAGTGCAAACGAATGGAGTACGCGCGCGTGTTGGTTCACGTATTCACTTCGGTACTCTATAGATCAATGCTAAGACATGTTACAAAAGGTTGTAGTTACATTCATTTATAAAAATCCATATGAAATTTGTATTTATCTGTGCTAACTTGAAAGGATGTTACCTCATTCATAACGTATACCATCATTTGATTTACTACACAAACAGAGCTTTTACAATTACCCCCACATGCAGTACATGGTCTCATCCCAGACAAGAACACAAACCAATTGTGTATGGTTTTCCACTTAATTACTGGTCACTGTTTAAGTCCTCCGCATATGAGAGTGAGTGTAGGAAAACTCAATGTTCATTTCTCCATCAGCAAGCAGCACACACCATGCATTGACTAATATGGTCAAGTTATGTGGTAATATACATCACTTACCTTGTGTTGTCTGGCTGTTTGCAGACCTGGCCTACTAGTCTACATATATGGGTGTCAGAGGTGTAAGCTTGTGTAGGGATGTAGGAACAAATTGAATGAGGGTTGATCTGAAAACTGGGCAGTCCAAATTGAAGGTCAGGGTTGGGATTTAGTGTAATCTTGGGGCAATGAACTTTAGTCTTTGTGGTTAATTTTTAGCTAAGTGCATGTGGGGGTGAGAGAATAGCTTTGCATGGGATTTTTGTTTTTAAAAAACAGTATTTGAGAATATTTTGCATAAAATTTTAGTTTGATAAGTACATGTACTTGTATTAGGTAAAGGTGCAAAAGATTTTTTTCTCAGTTTGTGCCAATTAAGAGTAATAAACATTAGCCAATAATTAAAAAATGTGAAAGTTGAAAAACATGTATGTTGAAAGTTCAGGGTGAAACTGATTGAATACAACATTAAGAATTGCCAGTTAGGAAAATGGGCACACGCTATGGTGATTTATGCCTGAAAATTTCAGTGTAAGTAAAAACTTGAAACAATAAAATAGATTGAACATTTAGGAGCAATTTAAGACCAAACAAAATTTTGGCATGGAAAGTGTATCCAGAATGCCTGAAATGAAGCCAATATTAGCATCTGATTTTTGAAAAGAAAACAGAGATTCAAAATTTATCAGATGTTTTCAGTAACTGTTTGAATTTCTAAGAAATTAATCTTGAGCATAATTGTTGTTGAAGGAGTTTTCCTAAGTGGAATAAACCATTGGTCCTCAGCAAAGTAGACCTTTTGTAGTATGAAAACGTAACAAACCTGTTGGGTAAAGAATGTTATGTTGGTGACTGAACTGCATTGGATATTGATAAATTGAGGAGGATTTCCAACATGTGTCAATGCTAAGATTTAGTCTTTTTTTTTTCAGAAAAAGTAAACATCAACAGAGATCGACGACGTGCATCCACTGCAAAGCACTGAGAGATGATGCAGGGGAAGATGGACTGACAGTGTGCGAGATGTGTGCTCAGAGAGCAATGGCCAGTAGTCAAGAAACTCTGATGGAAGAAGAAGAAGACGCAGTCATCAAATAGGTGAGTAGTATGTTGCAGTTTTTGCCGTGCCTTCAGGTTGGTAATCTCAAAGACTTCCCTCTTAACTGTACACTTAATGACAACAACTTGGCAATGACTAGGTATGATAGTGTTGATGCAGATATCAATTGCTTAAAAGTCAATTAAATTAGCTTAAAGGAAACTGGAGTAACAGCAAAGAAATAACCGTCATGTTACGTAGTATTATGACATTAACAGAGACAAATTTACTTCTGAAGTAGTGTGTCATTTCATCATCATTAACCTAGATAAAAGTGGCCAAAATTATCTGTCCAAAATATGGCAATCTTAGAGCCCAATTTCATGGCACTTTGTACATGTACGGAAAATCTACCCGATAAAAGCACCTCATCCAGTGGGTTTTTGGCAGCGTAGATTTTAGAATAAATGAAGCAACAGACCCTGTTTTAATCTGAGGATTTCTTAGCAGACATCCGAGAAAGATTTGTGAATGGTCTTACAACCCCAGCTGGCTTGTGTTCCAAGGGCAAGACTGCTTGCTCCGTGCTGCCTCATGTCCACACATGCCCAGCACGGAAGTAGGAACTTGATTATGACTGCAGGTCATCAGTGACCTTACAAAGAGACTGTGTTGATCCATCTGTGTTACACATGGACCGTAAAGGGTCAAGTATTGTAAAGTGCATGTCATCATACTGAAGAGACTGCTCTTATAAAATAAAAAAAGTACTCTTCTCAAGACTCAAGAAGGATGCATTCTGTGAGGAAGACAGCTACTGTAGTTTGGCAGTACACCAGTCTGAGTAATTGCCAAAGGAGGTACATGTACTAAGGACAATCAAAAGTTATGCTTCTCAGAATTGACAGGAGTGAGATTTGGCCATTTCCAGATGACATCCTTGATCAGGAAGAAGATGCCTGGTTGCGAGATTGGCTCATCAATCACAGGCATCACTAGACCAGTTTGAATTGTGGAATGTGTAGCCACAACTATGCTGATGACCGCAGTGAGGGATAGCATTCAACATGAGGATTTTTTCCCTGAAATGTGTTGACTGCCTGAGATTGGAAGGGGAAACGCCTGTAGCTGAAAGGGTCACAAAATAATAAGATCAGAATTACAAACGGGTCCCGCAAAAGATATGGCTGCAGTTTGACAAAGAAATGTTATAGAGTTTTGCTCTCGAGTGTAACTAGTTGCCCATAAAAACGATGAATGAGAAAGTGAGCCCCCAGCAACATCCCTGACAGCAATCATCATGTCCGGGGTTCTAACCCTACCATGGTAACTGTGAAGATGACTTCTCAGTTTCCTCACTGATTCCATCCCATTCTCAATCTCAATCATTCTCAAGGGAAACTTCCATCTTCTGACATTTCCTGACATTTCCTCGCTTGAGCAGCACCTCAGTGTGCCTTTCCAAGAAATCTTGGCTGATCACCAGAAAACTAATGCAATCATTCATTATTCATGGCACAACCTAGTCTGGGTCAGTTGACCTCTGACACTTCAATTGACATCTGATTGGATTAAACCAATCGGGTAATTCATGGCCAAGGCCAATGCAATACTACTTCATTGAAGGGATGTCCACAGTGAAGATTAACGGACATTGATTGGTAGGAATTCCAGCCTTTATAGTTACAGCAATTTGTGGCAATTCAGACACACCTCCACCTCAAAAAAAAGTCAAACTGTTTCTCTTTTCTGCAGAAGAAAAATGATTTTCTTCATGAAATGATAAAAAAATTGGAGGGGGGGAGTGAATCAACTGAAGTGATTAAACAGTCTCTCAACTTAAACATGAGCAGGACAACATTGTGATATCCCTTGTTTATCCGACTTTCATGTTAACAATTTCGTGTGTACATTTTTTTCTTCAGAAAGATTCTAATTACTGTAGTTTGTATTACAACGGAACAAAGAATTGAAAATGTTCATTAATCCGTGGATACTTGATGTAAGAAAATAAACCTAGTGTTATGTCATCAGTAATCGTTATCTTTAGCTCTACATGTGCATCATCCTCAACCCATCTACTCCCTTCCGTTACACATACGTGACAAGCCATGCTAAGCCGGCTGATCGTTGCTCATATATGGCCAGCACTCACTGCTGGTAGCAGTCTATTTAAAAATGCCACTGGAGATACCGAGAGGTTATCCCACAAAATGCTCCCCTCCACCAGAAATCCCAACATCATCCCTGGCACCAGCGCACCAATCACAGCCAGCGACAGACAGATTACAGAGGGACTGTCCTGCCCCGTGATTGGCTGCAAGTGGGTACCACATACCTTGATTAACAGCAATGCCTTCTTTAGAACTCATTCCATGCATACCAGTCAGGAGGTCAGAGCTGGTTGTCATTGTGCGTGATCCCTGTCTCTCCTTCTCTGCCGCCGCCGATTCCTTGCATTAGGCTGCTAGGCCTCTGTCTTATATCCCTTTGCTTTCTTTGCTCGGCCGGTGTCTCGCTCAGCCTGTTATTTTTTTTCCTCGTGGTTTTTGCCCACGTTGGTTTCCTCTTCCACACACACATATCTGAGCTTAGCCAGCAAGCAAACTCCAGTCTGCTCAACTGCCAGTTCCAAGTCTTCTTTCAGTTAATCTCTCTCATTCATTGGAAGTCAGATTCAACATGGCTGACAAGGGTGAGAACTTTTCTCCTTTTCTGTTGTTTCCAGTTGTTTCTGTTATTTTCAACTCACTGTTCTGTTATTGATTGCATTGGTCGTTCATGTTGCACTTTGTCATCCATTTCTAACATAACCCCCCTGAGTCTCATTACTCCGACATTGTACATCATTAGCAATTTCTGAATGGCCTGTATTCCATTCTAAGTCTTATCAAGAAAAATGAACTTCTAAATGTACATGTAATGTATATTATTCTAACCTTTAGTGTATTGCATGAAGGCTTCGATGAGTTCTGACACTTTGTCAATATCACGTTTTCAGAAATATACCTGTATAATGGCAAAGGGGAAAAATTGGCACGTCTTTTGCATTGAACTCTCTCCTATTCCATCATTTTTCTTCCGCTATGATTTGCATGTTCAGCTCAGCCTTTCACCTCTCATACCATTCACTGGACATGCCATATTTAGCATTGTTATTATGCCTGGTATGCTGCCTTGGTATTACCAACACTGATGGCAGTTGCAATAACAGAACTAATTATTGTCTTGGGTGGATGCAGGCAGCAATAAGTGGGTATTTTATCATTTTGTGTGTCCTCTTATGGCTGGACAGTGTCCAGTTGGGGGATATTATGCCCATTTGGAGAAATTGTGGTAATATCCCCTTTGGGGTTTTGTTCCCTTGGGGATGTGTTCCTTGACAGGATGTCCTCATTCTCATCCCCTTGGGATATATCCTCCCCTTTGAGGTAGAATTTCCACTTGTTCTCTGCCTGGATTCACCCTTGACTGCAGCTGATAAGTTGTTACAAAAGGAATTGAGGTTTATTGACCCAATCTTCGCCAGTCCTGACCAGCTCGGGAGGGGTGCGGCCACACCCACAGTGTCCAGTATCAAACTAGGCCATTTTGACCAGTGTAGACCAGATCATTATGTTCATAAATATTTTTTAGGAAACGTCTTTAAAAAGAGATCAACAAAAACTGTTAACATGATCTAACTGCTTTCCTAAATTTATATTTGGGAATTTCTCATGGCACTTATGGTATTGTGTGTCATGTGTGCGCTTTGCATACAAGTGTTGTAAATTGCATGAAATGTAGGTATATTATCTTTTTTGCTCATAAGACAATGCTTTATTTTGATTATGTCTTGTTCAAAAATTCTGAAAGATTCAAGAAAAATATCCTTGTACTTCGTTCCATTAAATGAAAAACGTGTACCAAATTGCATGTTTGAACATCATGACAAGCAACCTGAGAACCCTCCCGGCCTACATTTAACACCCCCCCCGGAAGTAAGAAACAAAATCAAAACAATAAAAAAAAGTTAGTACTTCCATCAGTAATCAGATCAACTTTGAGGTTATATTCCTATTGTTTACTCATGACAAGCTTTACTGGTAACCCTATAGGTCACTTAACATTTAGCGTTGGGTCAGGGGTCAGAGGCTGGTCAGAGATCAAAGTACAGCAAATGATTCAGGAAAAACTGTCCCAAAATATGTTTTTTTTTATGTTCCTCAGTTATTACAAGGAACATAGTGTTCTTCCATCACATTAATGATATTTGTTTTTAATTTTGATGTTACTAACTTGCATTCGCATTCGCAGATTATTGTAGGCATAGAAATTAAATCACTGTTCTGTAAATGGAAGTTTGTTAGTTCTCTAAAGTGCTGTAAAGATGTTTGCAAAATTATTAATATCAAATATTACCAACCTTTCATTATGAGTAGACACGGAGGGTTACTGGTCTTACATGTGTGGAATTCTAGCAAAATGAGATGGAACGAGGCATGGGCTTATCGGCAAAAAGTTGGGGAGTGAAGGAAATTGGAGAATTTTTGTGTTAATTTCACAGATTTATTGATGTTTGTTATTTTTGATATATAAATGCTCATGTTCTGTTAGGAATTTGTGTAAATAAATCATGCGATAAAAATGATAGGAGAAAAAAATAGCATCTTTTCATTTACAAAACTCAAAACTTTAAGGGCCTTTTGCTCAGTGTTTTAGTTTAAGACGTATTGTTACATGCCAATTATAAACACCCATAACTTGTCATTGAACTGAAATAATACAAACGGTATTGTAAAGAAATTTTGATTCTCTTTCCTAATAGCGACAAGCCCTCCTTTTAAACATTGCCCATTTCTCTCACATTTTGCCAGAATACCTCACATATCATTCCATTAAAGTAGCATCGTATGTCATCCCTGACAAATGGAGGAACAGTGAACTGGCAGAAAAAGAAGTGAAAAAGTTGACTTTTCTTAAGTGTAAACAAGCGAGTTTTGACACTAGGTAATGTGAACTCTTGCAGACATGAGGACTTAATTGATAATCAAGGTGACGAGATTTACAGTTGCCTTTTTGTTTGTTTCTTGGACAGTATGGTCTTTTTCTGACATGGGCATTTTCTTTCAATTTGGCAAATTCATCAAATTAAAGGCTGTTTTTTTTTTGGTTTTTCTTTTTGGCATGCAGCCCCAGTGTTCACCCAGGAGATGGCTGACGTTTCTGAGATCGAGAAAAGCGCTGCCGCCTTTGTTGTCAAGATCACCGGAGAGAAGCCCATCACAGTCAAGTGGAGTGACGAGGATGGACCACTCGATATTGACGGTGTAATAATCTGTTCAGAGGAGGATGAAGACGAAGGCATGTACATGTTGTCCATCACCGAAGTCGATTTTGAGAAGCACTCTGGTTTATATAGGTGTGAAGCAACAAACAAACATGGCACAACGATTTCCGAAGCCACTCTATACGTAGAGGAAATGCCAGAGACTGCCAAGACCCTTGTCGACAAGGTTGAACACAAGGTTGAGTAAAATAAATCAGCCGATTTATTTCTAGAGATTTCCCCTGTTAGTAGGACAGCCCCTCAAATGAACCCCAATCAGGACAATTGGACTGGAAGAATTCTCCATTTGAACGAACTGGACTCAGAACTTTGCATCTTCGGTTGGCTGCAAAGACAACTGTCATGAGACAGTATCCAAGTGGTACTGGGCAGGTCTTTGTGAAGCCAGTGTGCATCAAGGCCGTGAACTTTTTTCCACACTCTACCAGCTAACTCCAAGCAAATTAACGTTGTCAGTTGAGGACTGTAATGTTACCAAAGTAGACATATCTGTAGGCTGAAAACACAGACTCTTAGTAATCTTTCAACACATTTCAAGATTCAGGTTTCAAGATTTGTTCTACATCATGATAAAGTCATCCTTTTCTTCTGAATTTGTGCCTCTCTAAGATCCCTGTTAGTTCCTAATTTATGACATGATTTAAAAGCCAGTTTTTACTCTGCCTAATTACTGTAATGCAGACCCCTCAGTGATCAATACTCAGATGTTCCTGTTCACCTAGATAATTTTTGCTTACCACATTTTATGGAATTTACTTACGGGAACCTTACAAGGTCTGTCTTACCAGAGTAAGAACAATGGAGCTAAATAACTTCCCGCATACAAGAAACTTTACTTGAATCATGTTTGATTAGAAAAAAATAATCAATATTTTAGGGTCCATTTAAACATAGTAAAAGCTTAGAAATTTTTTTTTTTTAAATTTGAAATCAACTTGTCTATTGTGTCCAATGATGAGCTAAATCACACATTCATTACCAGTGCTGTCTGGATGTGATTTATTGGCTCTTTGTTCAACCTTTTCCCGTCAGTTGTTTCATCATTAGTTCTGTTCAGTTCATCCCGGGTTGAGCACCATTGTTGTTTCACCAATTGGACTCTCTGTACACTCCCATCACCAGCCACACCCTGGTATTGCCCCCCTCCACTGCCCTCCCCCCCTCCTCTACCCACTTGTCTGTCTCTGGATATGAATGATAATGGCATCTCATCAAGTGCCTTATTTACAGTGAGCTGCTACATGATTTTGTACCACGTCCTAGAAATCATTAAATCACTCAGTCAATCCAAAGAACATTAGGTGGGTTAAACAAGTAGAAAACTGCCTTTGCTTCGTAGCTATGTGTGCTGTGTACAAAGTTTATATTAATATTTATTCAATGTAAACAAATACAAATATGAAAAATGTAAAAGGAAAAAAAGGCTGCCTCATGAAGTAGATAAGATTGTTACATGTTACCGTTTGTCTGAATTGGATAACATTTATGCATTTTATTTCATTAGTAAGTAAAATATTTGTAGTGTTACAATACAAAAGCATAGAACAGTTTGAATAAGTGCTTGCTAGATTAGCTGTTTAGATCAGTGACATGTAGGCTGTGAGGAATATATGGAGATTATTCAGCCCTAGGTAACATATCAATTGTATGAGTAGCCTATTTGTACACGTTATATGTATGTAAGTTGGACACTTTTTATATCAAAGGCATAATTCAGAACTTCAGTATGCAATTTTTTATTCACTCGAAGTTGCTATTCAAGCACACGCATATTGTGAGATTTGAATTCTTTCAAAGGAAATCCAAGATATTCAGATTTCAACTGTTGTCAGTACTCCTTGAGCCCATGCATATTGCACTGAATATTACACAAGATCACAGGGAAATTCTGTAGCTTGTCTTGAGAAGATTATTATAGAAATATGAAAGCACCAAGATGTGTAGGACATTGCATTTGTGAATGCACAGACTTACCTATGACTTCATAGTTTGGTGTAGACCTCCCTGCACAATTTATTTGAATGAGGCAAACAGATGTAACTATTAAAAGATATTTTAGCATTTCACTTCATCTTAAAGGACATGCAGAAGTCTTGATGATACTGTCACCTCCCGATCAATTCTGATGTATTTTACAAATATGTTGTTTTAAATTATATAAATTATAATCGAATTATTCGAACGATTTAAATTTACCAGGCCCCAATAAAAGACCTGATGGTTTGCAGAGAAACATTGTATATATGCTGTTTACAAATATTTTTTTTTTGATAATTTTGAAAACTCCCTTTTTAAAAATGTGTTGTTCGGGATATAGGCTGCTTGTGGAAAATGTGTTTCTTGGACATTTGCTTCACAATCAGTCTCTTGAGATATTTTCATGTTTCTTCGTTAAAGGTTGTGTGCATTGTTTGGGTTGTTTTTCTTGGGTTGTAATTTCTCTCCACGCCATCATTTTCAGGTGATCCAGTCATGTCAAGTGCTACTATCCTCTTTGATCTTTTCATACTTTTACTCTCCAACAACCTTTTTATCTTTCCCACTCGGGACGTCACAATCCCGCCAGTTATTTTGCCTTTGGGAGATATTTTGCAGGCATTTGGAATGTCCGGCTTTTACTTTGGTTCGGTTGTGTTGGGTTGGGCTGAGTTTGGTTGGGTTGTGTGTGGTTTGGGTTATATTCATTTTGTGTTGGTTTCATTTATTTTGTTTGTGGAGTTTGGTTTGGTTTGCTTTGTTTTCATTTCAACTTGGGGGAGGGGGGGTGTTAAAGTTTTGGTTTTGGGACTTTGTTTTGTGAAACACCAGCTTGGTTCTTAGTAAAGAAGGGTCATTTGATCAGGAGGGTGGGTGAGTGGAAATAGTATATATTGGATATTTCCATATCCGTTACTGTCCCCTGATGGGTGGGGTTATCCCTGCCCCCCACCATTATGATAATACAAGGGCCAGTCAGTGATGCAACCATAAGCACAGGGGACTAGGTACCCTGCCCTCCTACTGATAGTCTTCTCTGATATAAAGATTGGTCAGTTCTTGCTTGCCTGGCATGTGCTGGAACATAATTAGACATGTCTCCTTGATGCAGTTGGTTGGTGCATATCAATGATACCAATCAGACACACTTAAATGATTGTGTTAAGATTTGTCTGAGGATGAAATTACACATTCTTTCTTCACGTGCTTGTTTGCAAAGCGTAGTGTTCCATGTTATACAATTGATTTGTGTAGATACTGCCCTCTCCTGTTCAATTTCTGTTGCTTTTTTTCTAAATGTCGACAATGGCCGTCTATCTTGTATTGCAACCAATAATGTTGATTTACTTCAAAACAGACCTTTGTCACAATTTATTCCATCTTCAGAAGTGTATTTTCAAGTTCTTACCTGCAGGGATTATTTTGAAGCAGTAGGGGATTTCTGTACACTATATGGTCAGACCACCCTCAATGACCTTATACGGGCATACATACCTTTGTGAATGGAAGTGGATGAATATGCTCCTCCCCCAATGGTGATGATGCATAATTTTCTGCTGTGAATCACTGTCTTAGTATAGTACTTCCACAAATCTTGTGCAGTGCACTAATTGATTTTATTTGAGCACATCTCATACGTATCCAAATATTCAAAGTGGGTACTGTTCTTTTGTCCTAATGTGGAGACAAGTTTATTCTGTGCTTGGATCAGTGAAAGGTACTTGCATTTTAAAATTCAGAGTACAGAGAAACTTGTTCCTTTGGCCCTGGGAACTAGTACAATTGCGTGGACACTAAGATGGTGTGGGATCCCGACGACTTGGTCTTGACTTCCTACCAAAAGAAACTGTCCTCTTAATCAGTATGGCGATGGCCTGGGTAATGTATCTGTGCTTCACAGACATCATGAATAGTGCCACCAAGGGCGTACTGAATATCAAGAATTAGGCACTGGGCCAAATATCTGGGGTGAAGGACATTCAGACATGGGGCAAAGTTCAGGTAAAGTTTAGAAATGAATGTCATGGCATGCTGATCAGAGGAGAAGACAATAATTGATCAGACTCTGTCTGCTTTCTGAATATCTTGGAGTGGGAAAGCTGTCTTGAAAACAAAGGAAAAGTGGATTTTTGTGACTTGATGTGGGCACTCATGTAGTTGATTGTAGCTATTGTCGTTGTGTGGATGAAAGGCAATGTGTAGGTTTTCCCAAAGTTGGAACTCTTGCTAAAATGGTACTCTGTAGGTAAGGAGGAAGGATAAACTGTGGCTGAGCCCACTAGCCTTGTTACCCTGAGGGACCACACATTGGATGGCATTAGAGAAGGTCAGTGTAAGTGTGGCTGAAGTGCGACAGACAGACCACTGTGATGTGATACATAACACTCTCTTATTTGTACCTGTCCCTCCCAGCTATGCCCTGTCTCCAAAGGCCAGAATCGTCCATCTGAATTTGGGGGAGGGGTAGTTGGCCCGAGGTGTTTGCCAATCTGATTGGAGTACTTTTTGATTCAACCATACAGCAGCCAAGGGGGTTGAATTGGTAGCTGGCCTCCAAGTTCTCAACATTTATACAAATAACATTTTTTGTTGTCACCCTTACTTTTATATCTGAAAATACAAACCTGACGAGACATTCTTAATGTTTAAATGAAAATATGAATTTGCTAGGTGTTATTTGAATTTGAAATCAAAATGGGCAATGGCAGGATTGGATCATGACATCCAAAATTACGTCTCCTGTGTACCGCATCCAACCTAAATGTACACACCAAACCAAACTTTATCTTAGAATGGGAGCAGTTTGAAAATATTGCCCACTGGGTAGGATACTTGTGTGGTTCCGAGTTTTGGACTTATGTTTTGGTGTCTGCATTAGAATCATGGTTGTTGAATCGCCTTTTGATATTGACTAGAAAACCATAAATTTATATTTACTTGACGAAAAAGATCATTTTAAGAGTTTGTATCAGATCAGACAAACTTCATGTTCTTGAATTTAACTTCTTATTTCTTTCTTAGAGTTATTTCAAGAAGTTGAAAGCCAAATGCTAGCTTAGGCTGCTGAAGAGGACATCAAAAATCTTGATGATACATGTATATTGCAAACAGCAGTTTTTTGGCTGGCATTAATGGATGATTAAGTTGTGTTTGGTCGTCCTGCAAAATAACTGCTGGTTGACCTTCCACAGTGACCTTCTTTCTGATTGGTCCATTCCTTGTCTTGCCATTGACACAGAGGTCAACTCTAAAGGTCACACACTTTCATCCTTTGCAAAATAATGTTCTTGGGGTCGACTTTTATTTCTCGTTGGTCTCAAAAATTGAAAGTTTGACCCCCTATTGTATGACCTCAAAACTCATCCTTTCCTCAAAGCTGAATATCTTAAACATTCTCAGTTGACTAATTGTTTAAATCGGCACACTCGGATGAATTTGATGCACCTAGTGATGCATGATGCATGTAGTCTTTAGTAAACTATAAGAAGCCCCACTTGGAAAAGGACTTTGCCAACTTACGTTGTAGAGCTGTGCTTAAATATGCACAAATACAAGTTACTTTTTACCAGTTCCAAGTAATTTCTTTAGTGTGAACCTTATTTATTACTGTTTCTCACTGGGTTGCTGCATGCAAGTAGATCCCGATGAACCAAGTAATCACGGGCTTTGTAAGAATGTGTTGGAATGTCAGAGGTCATTTGTGGTGAGGTAATCATAAGCATTCAGCCGTACTTGGGTCAAAGTGAAATGCAAAAATAGGTCTGTAATTCATCGATTATCCTTTTTCCCGTATTTGTCATCCACAGCGGTGATTATGTTTATCTCTTCAATAGGTCTGTAATTGTTGACAATTTTAACTAATCGCTTGTCACTAATAGTCACGTGGACGTTCAGTGATGTAAATAATGATTGTGTTCTGTCATCATTTCCAGCTTATTTTTCCAACTGAATGAAATTAAACAGTGGCAAAATTGACGCCAGATCTTTTCTTTTCTATTCTGTGTAAAGGGAAAGGACTTTATGTAACCAGCACTGGTCAGTAACAGCTGGGGATGACATTGATATATGCCATGTCTACATGCCACCTATAAACTTTGAATGTTGATGTCATTGGCCTGCTACATTTAGCCTGAACACTGTCCACCCTAAATATTTGAAGCATGTCAGACAGCTGTGTAGCATGTAAAGTGGACTACACTCTGTCAATTGGAACAATGAATTGCAGTAAATCAGCCATGTAATTAATTGTTTAATCAGTTCTAAAAAATAGATAAACTGCAAACTCTTTTTCAAATATCAGGGTTGTAGCCAACTTATGTGTGGATTTTATATTATTATGAACCCTAGCTGGGATGCTTATATGATATTGGCACTTTATAATTGTTGCATTTGATGCCCACAAATTGGTGTGAATAACTCCTTTAGTAGCAATGGTATAGAATCGGGAGGAGGTTGCAACTATTTCCCACCTTTTGACCAGGGATTGGACCACTGGATCACCCCCTATTTTTCCGTATTTATATCACGAAAGGAAAGAAACAAACAAAAGGAAAAGTAACAGTAATGAAAAAGCAAGAAGCCAATACACAAATGGCATTTCATTTAAAATTGCTTGTGAAAGTTTGTTTTAAAAGGGATGAATGTTGGTTTTTTATTTTATTTTATTTTATTTTATTTTATTTTATTTTATTAGTCTACAAGACAAAAAGGACCAACAGCAGCAGCCCAGCAAAGGTCTTCATAAAAGAAATTCACACATTTAAATACAATTACATAAGACACAGTAAAGATAAAAGGCTTTTAAAAATTGTAGATAAGTAAAATTGCTGGGTAGATATAGAAGACCTGGAAGGGTTGAACTAGATTTAAAAAAAAAGAAACCATAGGCCTAATAACAATAAATGGTAACTAAAATAGTAACAAATTTGTTTCTGTATACGTAAACAATTAATACACAACATGTTGTGAAAATAAAACAGTTTATGCTTAAGTTGTTTTTGGGGGGGTTATCCTAGCTTCAAGTCATTTGTTCTAAATCTTTATGGTGAAAAAAATGTAAAACCTTATTAGTGGAATAATCGTTGTTTTTAGCCTTTGTTCATGGATACGTGCTTGCATCATGCAAGGCCTTTAACAAACTAATGCAAAAAGAGCTTAATGCATCTCTTTTGACTACAAATGTCCTCCAGTGACCCTGTTGTTGCCATGTTCATTGACACCAAAAGCTGCAGACAGACTGGCAATTTCTTGTCAAAACATCGCATTAAAATGGAACCCTAGTCTGTATTTCATGGTTGTTTTTTTCTAAATCATTGTCAACAGTAAGTTGCTCTTTCTACCCATGTGAAAATAGTGGTGAGCTACCCCCGGAAGCCGCTGTAATCTATTTAGCATACTTCTGTCTTGCTTGTCTGTGATTCGCTTAGAGTTGAACTCCTTGACCATATTTGGTTGTGAATGCCATTCATGCCAGAAGGATGGAATCTGCTATGTAAATGGGAGGGGTTCACGTTCTAGAAGAGTTTAGACTTTGATGAATTTTTTATTATCCACCCAGACGTTTTGAGGGTTATGTTTTCTCCTTTCAATTTTTTTTGTGGAAAGAAAAAAAAATCAAGCCATTACAGGTCTTAACATGGTTTGTCTTTCACTTGCATATTCTAATTACCAATTTCTTGCTTATGCAAGTTTTTATTGGAGAAGTATACTAAACTGATGCGATTTTATTTATTTATTTAGTACAAACCTCCCACCTCCTGCCTTTTTTTTTCAGAAATATACCCACCAAATTATCCATAATGTCTTCCAGGCTTATTCTGTAAAGTTTGGATGCAAGTTTTCCTGTAAATGTAAAGATATCCAGACTTCATTTACAGCGTGTATTTTCAGGTATCATTTCCTGTATTTTGTAGCAGAGATGGTGTGTTAGTGGGCATGTTTGTTTGTTTGTAGGTTTTTATCATCGCCACAGGGCCTTTTCCTTGCCCCCCCCCCAAAAAAACCTGCCATTATTGACAAAGTGCGTTCTCTATGCCTCAAGCCTCCCCATGCTGTTTCCATCTGTGAGCTGCTCACAAGGAGCGGAAATTACCCAGCATCCTTTGCTGCCCAGGTTTGGCCAGGGACACTTCTTACGTGTACGCACAGCTGCAGATAGGGGGATGCTAGCTGACCTGTAGCTGAGGCTTGCAAGCAGAATTTCTGTCATACTTTTATCACGGTGTGGAAGGAAACCATACTGAAGGCTGGCAACATTCTGCTGAGTTTGTGGTGAGTTTCTCCTCTTAAAATCTGCCCAGTTCATTTGCTGTTGTTGGATGAGAATTGTTTAACCCTTTGGTCTTGTGAAAAATCTTTGTGTTGAGTTGTACCCCTTGGAGGACATTTTGGTGAAGTAGCTGGTAAGTGCAGTGTATTGGAAGTGGATAGACCTTTCGTGCACTGCTGAATGGAATTTGAAATATGTTACATGATGCTTGGCTATGTGCTGCCTCCATTTTGTATTTGTAATTGGACAGACAATAACATGTCCATATCTTCCCAAAAGACGATTGTGTAACTCTTCTTTTAGAGTTATTACCCAAATTGGAGGAAGACTATTTGTCAAGTTGTGGTTTCAGCTGTCCAGGGTTGTTGCTAATTTGCCTAAATTATTTCAAATTTGATAGATTGTGTGTTCCGTATGATTTATGTGTTATCAAAGGTTATTTGGGGATCATTGCTAATCATTGCTTTTGCAGAGGAGGGATACACAAATATTATACCAAAGGCCAAAAAACTATAATCCCATCAATTATCACCTTTTCTTACCTTGGAATCGTATTAAAGGATTTGTTGTTTTAATCTATTTATAACTTAATGTTTATTCATTTCTTAAGTACTCAGTAACATTGAACTTACTGCACATTTTATTTCATTGTTCTCTCTTTTTTCAATAGAATTTGTGTGTGTGTGAATAATTTGTTTAATTAACGTGTCTGTGTTGGTTACTTACGTATTATATTTTCTATTTGACCTATTCTGTAGCCAAGAACTCTTGCTTAATTATCCTGGAACTATTTTCTCTTTGCCTTTCCTCGGCTACTGTTTAGAAAGCACCAGTTGTTGACATAGTGTTTTTGTTAATGCAGGTCCTTGTTTTTGGTTGAGATAACACCGACTGCTTTTCCATCGGAGATAGATTTCTTGAAAATGAAACCTATTCATGCAAACCCATTCTCAATTCTGTCTGCGTTCTTGTGTCCTACACAACGACAAAATATTTTTGCATGAGTTTCATTTTGTTTTACAAATTTTCTTATTGGGTGATTGCAACTGTTGGTATTTTTTGATCAGTGCACATCCATATTTTTATTTCACAGACTTGTAATGGGGTATCTTCTACAGCTCTCAATTTCAACTGCCTTTTTATAAAGTTTCAGATTTCACATTCATCCTGTATTTTTGAGCTGGAAGCTAAATTCTCAAAGTAGTCCTTGCACAACCACATGAGAGTAAACCCAAATTTTGAAACTTGCTTATGAATGGGATTCATTCTCTGCATTACTGCAATTTGGTTTTGCTTTTTCAGACAGAGTTCACTAAAAACATTAAAATGTATTCGCTGATACTTTTTCAAAGAATGTATTATACTTTTATCATAATTTGACAGCCTACCACTGTTTATATATTTTTCAACGATATCTGTTCTTGTGGAAATATAAACTTTTTAAAACCTAAGACAATAAAACAGCTGTTTTTGACTTTTTTCTGACCGGAGTAACCTGAAAAAAAGGAAGCTGGAAAGCTGTAGTGCTTTATATTTGATTCTAGCATCAGATCTCTCTAAATTTTACAAAGTTATCCCAAAAATAAGTGCACTGGTTTTCTTTAATTTACTAAATAATTAGTGTTCTATTTCACTCAGTTCTTATGTCTGGGTCCCCCTGCTGATGCTGGCTATGCAGAGCATGCCATCACTGTAATTCTAACTGGCAAACCTATCAACATATTTTCCCAACCTTTCTAATGTTTAGTCTTGTTTTGCTGTGAGTTGACTCTCGCAGAAGAATTAGTAATAAGTAATGCAGAATATGGAAGAAAATAAGTATATAAATACATTGTCTTCTGGAAGTTTATTTTACCCAGTGTCCTATTCACAGTTTCACAATATTTTTAACCTTAAATTTCTTGCCACTTGCTCTGTCAAGTTTTCACTTTAAAGTTTTGTGGAAAATGGAGAATTAGCGCCAATGTTGTTTCCTAAGCTTCATTTCCAGTAGGCATTAAGTGGAAAAGTTGGTTCAGTGCAACTCAGTCTCGGTTTTACTAAACTGGCAGAGCTAGAGATCCCATTTGAAAGCAAATTGTTCGGAAGTTTGACTGCATATATGTAGAAAATCACTTTATATGATCAGAATTATTGACATTTGAAACATTAGGCATACTTAGAGTGTTAAACTTAGTTTTGAAAGGATGAATTGAATTTGGTTTTCACATCTGCAGGGCCAGCTGTGCCCTATAGCTTTGGCCTTTCCCTACTTGACATTTAGGAGCAAACAAAACATCCAGATCACAGTGATTACCCCCCTGGTTTTTCCGAGGAAGAGAGCGCTAGGGAGATTTAAAAGTGACACCAACATTACTAGGGCCCCAGCATCTACGTCAGATCAGAAATACCATCGCAGGTGATGACGTAGATTGTAATATATACTCAAGGACTTGCTCTCTATGGGAGCACACAGCACTGTTGCTGCATCCCATATGAGATGGCAGCCCCTTAAGAATCTTTCTTCTGCATCTTGTTTGCAATGGGACGTACCACTTACTCTTCTGGGGGTTTAGCTAGCAAGGGGGATACCTTACTAATAGTTTCTAACACTCTAAAGCACTTTTGATTTTCCAAAGATAAAAATAACATTCAAATCATGGCTTTGAAATCTTTAGCTATGTTTATTTTGGTAGTTTTAAGGCTAGGCTGTACTTTCTTGAGACGTGCCGGCATTCCTTTTCAAGAACCAGTGTTAACACCCCCTTTGGGAAAATAGGTTCAGCCCCCTCTGATAAGAAGTGTCTTTATCTTTCTGATGGAGATGCTGGATTGGACCAATATCTTAGGCAACTTGCCATCTTTCTGGCAGTGTCATTAAAAAGTAAATATCAGAAAAAGCTTGTCTTATCTGCCAGGAAGACCGGTAATGATAGGAGCAGATAGCATTGTCTTCTGGCTTGCAGTCCAGGCAAACTTTGTGGAATCAGAAAGTACATTGATGTATGCTCGATAAATAGTTGAGGCCGATCGTGGAGGGAAATAGCGTGGTAAGAATTGAGGTGTTGTGGGAAGAGGAATTAACTTCCATACAAATTTAGAGATCACTTTTTTTCTTTATTGTGGATGGAAACTGGTGTTGTGTCTATGTGTAATTGACACATAATGTTGTAGGATTTACAGCGAAGGAACTGCGGCGATCTGTTTAATGCGTGGAGGAAATAAGAACACAGGACTGTGATGATCTGGTGGAATATCATGACGAGATAGTGACATCAGGATGTATGCTCATTGAAGGCCTGTGTCATGTGTTTACAGGGAACATTGCTGGAAACATTGTTCTCCAGGGTGCCTTTGTTGTATGCTGTTGATCTTTTGTAGGTCATCCATAATTGTAGTCAGATAGGTTGCTTATGAAAAAAATTAGTAACAAAATTGAAGGTGAGTTTTCCATATCAGATGCCAGCTGGATTACAAGGTATTACATTTGGTATCAAAACCAGTTAGGGACACCACTAGGAAGTATATAAAAATTGTTTTATGCCAGTATTTGTGAATTTACTTTTTATATATATAATTGTGTAATTGTTTGCATTTCTAAACATGAAAAAGGAAACGTTTTCTTAAAGCGATGCAGTTTTCTCAATCTTTTTCTCTCTTTTCTGTCGCAGTGACAAGTAGACACCATGCCTGCAGGTAAGCCATCCAATCAGGATAGATCAATCGTTAACATGTGACAGGTCTAATCTTAATATAGAATGCACTTGGCCAAGCAACTGTTGAAATGTATATTTATAGTCGAGGTATGCTCTATATATACCTGGCATTAATATCTTGTGTCTATATCTGTCGACACTGATACTGTGACATCCGGTCTGGTTGGATTGTTATCATGGAATTTTCAAATGAGAAAAGAAAAAAAACTAAGGAATCAAACTATTACTGCCAACACTTATGTATACCATTACTGAGAGGTTTCTTAGTAGGTTTTGTAAATCTTGTTCTCATGGTTTTGCTGTATATGACAAATATATCTACTGTTGACAAGTTTGTTTTTGCATTGTACTCTGAAAGTTAGGCCTCTCTTTTTAGAAATAAGTGTGACCTGCTAATAACTTTTTCAAGAGTTGTTCTCAGTAATCATCAGTAATGAATAATGCATTTACAAACATTGGTATCAGAAGGTTTACTGTAAATTGATTTCAAAAGAAAATGAAAGAAAGTAAGATGGCATTCCCCACTATTAGAGCAGTCTTTGCTGAGTGTAAAGTTGAACAAATACTGTTGGATTTTGAGAAATCAGGTTGTTGGCTTGTATACCTGTGCAGCGGCACAGTCTGACAATGTGTATCATCCCAATTACAACTAAAAAGGAAAGTCATAAGAAAAGATTCTTGCTCAGTTACATCTCGTCTATGCTATCATTTTGTGTTCCTAATCTCAGAGGCTCCCGAACCCCCTGCCAACAAGCCGTACGCGGCGAAGGTCTTCAAAGACATGATCAACTTGGTCTGGCCTGGTACCACCTACGATGGGGGTAGCATCGTGACAGGGTACGTGGTGGAGATGTGTGAGGATGGTAAGAACAACTGGAAAGTGCTCACCAAAGACGTCTTCAGCACTAGCTATGCCATCAAGGGGCTCAAGGAGAAGTGTACCTACAAATTCCGCGTCAGCTGTGTCAATGCTGTGGGTACCAGCAAGCCCAGTATCATTTCAGAACCTATCATGACTTCAGATGCAGGTAGAGATTGGACGCGATCTTCTTTTTTTTAAATAATGTTCACTCAAGGTGGGCTTTTACACTTTGACTTGAAAGCGAAACTGAAATTTGTGATTGCTTTAAATATTGGCAAATTTGCAAAAGGGTCAGAGACCTGTTGACTTCTGCAGACTTTGCTGTGAATGGCTCGTGGTATAACGTTTGTATTCATAGTCTCTTTCCTCTTGAGCAGGATATAGCATTGAATAAAACAGTGGTGTTGTAGTGGGAATGTTCATGGACACACAGGCATTACAGGATGGTATATATAAGCACATTCTTTCTTTGTTAATTTTGAGCGGAGAGTGCATATGTAATAAGAGGGGTTGGTCAAGACAAAGAATTTCTCATGGAAGTGAAACGGTCAATGTCAGAATGAAACAAAACTTTAATTCAGCATCCTGTGATGAATCAAAGAATATTTAAGAGCTTCAAGTACAAAACTTGCTTGCTTTCCTGTCCAAGTGTCAGAAGGCACATTAAATGCCATTTTGTGAATGAAATGCCAAGTTGAACTTCTGAGGCACTTCTGTCAAAGCTGTTTTTGTTTGTTCTTCTTAAAGGTGTTGAAGATGATATTGATGAAGAAGATGAACCAGGTTTGTAGAGTTGTGTTTCTCGTCCTTCATTTGTCTCCTTCTTTGTGTGTAATTTGTCCTCTGTCTCAAACCTAAAAAAGTGTCTTCATTTTTTGATTTCTCATTGTTTTAATCTTTTCATAAAGCCATTTGTTTTGTGTAATTATTGAAACAAGATCTGTTGAAAATCACCTTTAGTCACAAACTAAGCTTAGATGCAAATGATTCTCGACCAATTTTTTTTTCTTGGGGAGACCCACTTTTACGAAATTGAAACACAGATTTCTCAGTGCCTAAATTGCTAATAAACAATTTTTTTAAACCTGGGAAGGTTTTGGGTATCTGTAAGCAAGGAAGCAATCGGTGTAATGGTGTCTTGTATTTTTACAATCTTCAGATGAGGCAGCTTTTGAACAAAGAAAAGTCAAAGTCAGGAAAGAAAACGTCCGAGACTTCTATGAGATAAGAGAAGAACTTGGAAAGTAAGTTTAAAAAACGAAGCTCTTTGACTGAAATGTGCTTGCAAACTTACTCCTCCTAGCCTTGCCGTTGGTATGATGTGTTGCTGAGTGTCAGTGTTTGAATGGGGGAATATTCCAAAGGGTTTGACATTAGTTTGATGGCTGTCCTGTCGTTTTGAACAATTCTTGTTTCTTTGATCTTCTCAGGGGCAAGTTTGGAACAGTAAACAAATGTGTGGAGAAGAAGACCAAGAAGATCCTTGCAGCCAAATTCATCAAGGCAGAAAAACCTGCAGATAAAAAAGAGGTCAGCTGAAGTTTCATCTTCCCAAGTTTGCTGTTTGATGCTCCAGTCTTAAAATTACCTTTTGTAAATTTGGTTTGGTATTGTGTGATAGGCTGCGGCATTTGGGATGTGTCCTCAGGGACACAAATAAACTACTTTAACAAACTGAGAGCAAAGTTATGGTTATTGTAGTTTTAGGTTTTTGGTTTTAGTAGGAAATGAAAATTGCATACAAGGGAAGAATGCCGTTAAAAATGCTATTGGAAAATCTGTAAAAGGCAAAAATATGAATTGTGATTGTTGCTAAGTGTTTTTAGGTTATTTGATTTATTTAATTTTGAATTTGATCTGGTCTGATTTGATATGCAATCCAACAGGTCGAACATGAAATTGAAATTATGATGATTCTCCAGCATCCCAAGCTACTTCAGTTGTACGACGCTTTTGCCACAGGAAACAACATGGTTATGATTCTAGAATAGTAAGTCAGGAGTTTTCTTCTCCCAAACTTGTGGATGACAGGAGTTATGCGGGGGAAACGTAGGATAGGCAAGGGTTCGGAGTAGGGTGCAACTTTGCACTTTCTAGTTCTTTTTTTTTTCTTTCTTTTGCAGAGTCAACATTTTTTATGAGTTGTTTTGAGATATTCAAAAATCCAAATTTTGTTGCACACTTTCTCAGGACTTTGATAACTAACCCAAACCTTTAACTCCAGGTAGGGGAAAAAATGGCTTGCCAAGTGGATCTGCTCTCTTCATATTTCTAACTGGCCATCAGACCGCTTGTAACCCTAACCAGAGCTGTACATAGAGAAAGTAGCACCAGCTTCAGATTACGGAAACAAAATGGCCGTTAGTATGTGTATAGTTGAGCATGCGGCTATCGTATACCAACTGTCCTTGTTATACTACGGTCATAGATAGTGAATGTTTATTGGTCACAAATTGATCACATGATATGCTACAAGCGCACATGTATCATTCACGCATCCAGCGAACTGGTGATGTTGCGGGCCGCAAGAAAGATGGATAATGGTGATCTTTCCCAGAGTTGATGTGTGGTATCTATGGCCTTGTAACTGTGTAATCTTGGTTACGAGGGTGGATAGCCGTGGTGGTACTACGCACTAATTATTTATATTGTATTTTATACTGTGTGAGGGACATTGAACCTCTATGTCTGTTCACAAGTGGTACTCGCTTCATTCTGACCATGACAGAGACCTGCGAGTTATTAAACTTCTGTTTGTGCACCCAGCTATGCTCATGGAACATGAGTATGCTCTGATCACTGTGTCTGCTGCAATCGCCATTGCTGTTTGTATAAAAGGCTCATGCGGTTGTCTCTTCTCATCTGCTCTTCAAGCTTGTCAATCTTGAAATTCAAGCAGTCAACAAAAATCCTGGTGCTCTATGAATCTCAGGTTTCTGTAGTAAACCAGTTTGGTATGAATCCTAGATTTCTCTCCCCCAAAACAAAAACATAGGTCAACAAAGGACACCACAATTAATAATTTTCCTTGTAATGTAATATCTAATTTGCTGTTCAAGTTTTTATTTTGTCAAAGTGTTTTAATTTATCTTGCAATAAAATATGCACATATTACATATAAGACCGTTCCAGTGTTATCTTTGACCATGGAATAACAAATCAATTGTTGTCTGCTGTGATGGGGTCCATGGGTTTTGTACACCCTTAGGGGCAAATGGCACCCTTGGCTTTGCCTCAAGTGCCCTTTGCCCCCTTGGGTGTGCAAATCACCATGGAGCCCTACACTGCAGGCAACAAACACTGCTGGCGCTTAAAGTGACTCTGCCCCTAATTGGCGTGTTGTTTTTATTTACAGTGTATCGGGAGGTGAATTGTTTGAGAGAGTCATTGACGAAGAGTTTGACCTGACAGAAAAAGAAGTCACATTCTTCATGCGGCAAATTTGTGAAGGTGTCAAATTCATGCATGCTTCAAAGATTCTACATCTGGACATGAAAGTAAGCGCATTGATGGCATTTCAATTTGGTTATCAGTTAAACTGAACTCTTGACAGATACTGCATTTTTAGAGTAAAAAGACAGCACATACAAAAGTTGTTCTTCTTATGGTATCAAAACCATTTCATTTTAACTTTTTGGATTTAAATTTCTCATAGAAGTCATTCAGCTGTAAACTTTTACGTATTTATTTGGAAAAGGGATTGCCACCTGTTATTGAAAAATTTAATTCTGTTTTATTTTCCCAACAGCCAGAAAACATCCTATGTGTACGGAAAAATAGCAATAAAATCAAGATTATAGATTTTGGTCTTGCTCAGAAGATGACAAAGGGTTTGAAGGTGTCGTGTGGTACACCAGAGTTCTTAGCCCCAGAGGTTGTATCGTATGACGAGGTCTCCTTTACAACAGACATGTGGTCTGTAGGTGTTATCTGCTATGTCTTGTAAGTAAAACCACACCACCATCACCTTTTCACCATCAGCACACTCGCCTTCACAGTCATCTGTCATAATCATTTATTGATCTGTCATTGTCACATTTCTAAAATCTTCTTCCCTGATCAGTTGTCACCCATTGCCAGTGTCATAACTGTCATCATGAGCTCCGTTATCATTGCCACCACAGATGTCATACAAGCACTTCACCGTTTTGACCCTCATACATACTAATAATCTCAATGGTCACCATCACGATCACTAGCATCAGTGAATCACTTGTCTGATATAACCCTCACCACCATCACTTCATCCTCTCAGACAACCTGACCTCCATTCTCTTCCCAAAGGCATATCATCTTTCTGTCTCACATGTTGCTCATTTTTCCTCTCAGATTGAGTGGTTTGTCACCATTCATGGGCGACAATGAGGGTGAGACGATGAGTAACATTCTCAAGGTGGAGTGGGATTTTGAGGATGAGTGCTTCGATGACATCTCAGACATGGCCAAGAATTTCATTGAGAACCTGCTCAAGGCAGACAAGGGGTGAACATATTAATCTTGATGTTGCTAACTTCCATTTGTAGTCAGTGTGTCTGTATTTGTGTTTGCTAGAAAGAACAGTTGATTTCAGAGAATCATGTCTCTTTGTGTGTAAAAGATAGGGCAAGAACCAGCACTTGAACCAATGCGTGCACACACTCTATTCGTTTGCACAACATATACTGGTTCAAATTGACGGCACACTTCATTACTCTCTTGTCTTGATACTTGAGAAAGCTTTGCAAAAAAAGTATGTACACTGAATATCCAACTTCATAAAGCTTGGGCTAACTAGATGACAGCAATGCCATTGTCATATCTTGTGGAACTTCGTCTTTGTGAAGCCTCTTACCTGAAAAATACCTTCTTAAGAAATGCTTTTTTTGGAGGGAACCCTCAACTTTTTTTCCAGAACTGATGGTCGTTCTCGACATTTGCTTTCAGATTTCTTCCTTGAAGAAGTGGTGATTGTAACAGTTAATTGATTTGGAGTGCACATAGTTTTTCGCTGCTTTTGCTGTTTGCTATAACTAGAATTACTGAAAAGTCTCTGCAACTATCTGTATGTTTGTCTGTTTGCCATTAGGGAGAGAATGACTGCAGAGCAGTGTCTGAACAATGACTGGCTAAAAAAAGAGATAAAGAGCACACAATCCTTGTCCAAGGCTCGTATCAAGAAATATGTCATCAAGAGAAGGTGGCAGGTAGGTGTAAGACCAGGAGCAAATTGATGGAATGGATAAACGATTAGTCTCTCACCGCTGTCTGACACTGAACATGATCAATTCCAGTTTAGGAGTAATTTTGCATGAATCGTACTAAAGCTAAATCGGAGAAAACCTAATAAATCATAACTTAAGCACAGAGTACAAATTTACTCCTCATCACAATTTAAAATTGATGCATAAAGTCAAACAAATGTTTAACTAAAGCTAAGCTAAGTTTGTGTCTTGGATACCAGTGACGGTTATTCAAAGCTTGAGACTCTTTGTTTCATGAAAAAGCGTGTACTTATCTCCAATGATGTAAACATTGTTGGAAAGTTGTTTTTTGATTAGCGAGCAAATCCTTACACACTTGTTGGGATGGAAATCCAGCCTGTGACCTCCGTTTTGCTAGTTACAGACGTCTGAAGTTATGAAGCACTTACATGTAACTTGCTTATTTTTGTTTTTAAGTAACTAAAGATGCAGTCACCTCACAAACAAGAAGTAACAATTCAGATCTTGTTTCCTTTTCTCTGCATTTCAGAAAGCCATTAATGCCGTCCGAGCCATGATACGTGTCAAGGGCATTCTATAAGCACTAGACTGGTGCAGTCCTTTGCTTTGTTTCATCCAAGCTGCATTTTCTTCCCGAAGCTCAGCTGCCACTCTGCAACCATTCTTTGCCCTGCAGTTGTCATGGCAACTGTTGTCACAGCAACTGCAGCACGGCATTGTGGGGCCTTTCATCCTAGATGTTTGGCGTCCCTATCTTTGGACATATTGCAGAGGTAAACAAACAAAGTCTACATGAAGTTCATGGACACATCATAATGGACACCTTTTTGTCCTTTTTCTCATTTTTTTCGTGATTTCAGCTTAAGCAGGAATGCATTAATATGCACAATTGAAACACATCAACTACCCAGCAGATGTGAATAATGAAAAACTTTTTTCAAAATATTCAGTGAAATAAACTTTCACGAAGTATTTGCGGAAAGTTTACCCTCAAAAAGGTTTCAAGAATATGTTGAAGAACTTGGAAAAGAGTGGTATTTACTTCTGCCTAATAATTACTGGGGAAAGTTATTGAAAAAAATGATCTCCATTGACAGAGATTTCATTGAACAATGAATTAATTTCCTTTCCAAGTTAAATGAAGAGTTTTTGCTTTTTGAACTTTACTGTGATCAGCTTGGATATGGGATTGATTGTTTTAGAGGAGAAATCCTTTACACTTGTACAAAAACTGTGAAAGATTTTTAAACACTTGTAAAATGTCCAATATTTTGTCATTCTTTGTAGATTTGTAGAGCTGTAAAAAAAATCTATTTCAAAAAATCTCATTTAAAAAATGTATAAAAAAAGTTACAAACAGAAACCCAAAAAAAAAAAAAAATAGTCATGGTTGGTATTCGGTGCACTTTAAATACAAGGCAATTGTGTTTAAACACCAGACTTGGATATTGTGGAGAAGGCAGGATTTGTACCCAGTTATTCACAAAGAGGTTGTTTTAAAGCTGATGTTTCTCCAGATGCCAAGAACAAACACTCATCACTTTGGTACTGTTCAACGCACAGCTGGAAAGACATTCTGCAGTTTTGGAGTTGAATTTTGCAGGAACCCAACCCATGTCAGTGCCTTTCAAATTGCACAGTCGGGATTAGGTGGTTTCACATTAGTGGAAAAAGTGTGTGAAACTGGGCCTTGGAAATTGGTAAGACACTGGGAATGAAGTTAATCACAGTGGTAGATAATCTCAACAAGATTGACGTGTAATACCATTTTTTTTTGTTATGGTGCTAACACGATATGTCCAGCTTTCTAAATCCACATTCATGTTCATCTAGGCACTATAGATGCAACATGATTTTTTTAAATATAACCCTGAACAGAGACTGCTTATCGATTCCCTTTCAGTTTTTGTTCAACTCATCATAGCCTCTTGGATTTGATTTCATTAACAACAGCATTGTTTGCAACAGCATTTCCGTAATAGCGTTGTACCTCTGGTGTGATCAGAAGAAAAATACTAGGGTCATCACATAACATGTAATTACAGCTTATGGTGTGAACTACACAGAAGATAGATACCAAGCAAAGACTTTCAGCAAGTGTGCCATGCATTCTGTGTTTACCATTTCTTCAGCACGATGCTAACGATAGTCGTATAGTACATTCAGTACTCCTTGAAAAAAAAGAAGTTATTAGCAATTCCATCATGTTTGGATTCATACTAGATACTTTGTAATTACCAGCCATTGTGTAGTTGTAGCCTGCAATATTTAACTTGATGTGTTTCATCAATCTGAATTGACATTTCTCTGTTATCCAATGGATCAGAAGTTAACTATCGCAAAGACACATTGGCAGAATTGTTTACTTTATTTAATTTTTAATCTGAACTCTCAGTGTTTCAGTCATTCCTGAGATTAACAAAGAACCACTATGATTCAACCATCAAACTGATCATTAAGTGTCAGAATTATGAGAATATTATTTTAATGCAAAGAAGAAGGTTGAAGATAAAAAAATTATGTGACCATTAGTATTCATCGTAATTAGAAATTGTGGTGGTTGCAATTTCCATTTTGCTTGTTTTCCATTTAACATTTAGTCATATCTTATTGGTTGAGAAGGCTGAGCGACAATTAATTAATTGTATAGCAGGTCTTTATATGAGTCAGTTTGCCGCTTAAAGTAACAGGAAAATTGAGAGAAACACCAGTTAATTCTCAACAGTCTGAAACAACTGAAGGTAAGGCACAATTTTCAATGAATCGGGAGAGGAATGCTGTCATCAAATGTAGAAGTAACTGGAGGTGGTATTTGTGGTGGTGTGAAGCTGGACAGATTGAGGAAAAGATTTTCTCGTGGAGAAATTTGGAAGATTGGTCTTTGAAGTTCATCTTAATCAGCAGTATTGAAAAATTAGACTTTCATGGCGTTTGGATTAAGTTGTCATTAATATAAGAATGTTGTGAGTAAGAAACATGGAATCTGAAACATCTGTGAAAACATTTGGTGTATTTTTGTTTATGTTTTATTTGTGGTATTACTGCTAGAAAATTACTCGTCCTATTCTTTCAAACTTTCTGTTCATCAGTAGCGTTTTCATGAAATTGAATTACTATGAGGTGTATTTACCAAAGGAAATTGTTTGTTACTTGACGATTTCATAGTTTTAAGTGTTCATTTTATAATTCAGGTTTAATTTGGCAAGGTAGTAGTGACTGTGTGAACCTGTTATTTATATGTATAGATGTACTTCTGAGTTAATACAGCTGTTTTTGTTCGGTTGACAATTTTCATGTGTAAAACGTGTACGAGTGGTGTTTCTTTTCCTTTTTAAAGTTCAGGGTGAGATGTAATTTTATACGTGGTCCGATAAAGATCGTTTGTGTTCATATTCAGCAGCGAAAAAAATTCTGGCCAACTTGTATGTCCATTTTCCATCGACCGTCGTTTCATTGCACCATTTTCCCAAATTGCTCCGAATTCGTGTGTCTGATAAAGACTGTATGGTATCAGATTTGCAATATTTGATTTTACAACGTTCCTCTTCCCTTAATTTTCATGACTTGCTCCTGTGCACTTGTTCATCTTTTCATTTCTCCCGTCTATCTTATCTGTCACGTTCTCTACTGCTAATTCTTCCCAAGGTCACCTGTGACCTCACTTCCGTTTCACTCCGTCTGTCTTCCATAACGTAACATGTTGTAATTGCTGTCATTGTTTTTGAGCCTCATATGACTCACTTTTACTATCGTTTCAGTGGTATACACAAATATTGTAGTGTTTGGTATTTTCTCGTCAATCAGCGAGTCAATGAGTCTGTCACTCCGTCAATCTTTCTGTATGTAATATATTTACATTTACTTATAAATATGGATATAAATATATATCCCGGTTGATGATGCCTGCAGTTATGTCGTAGAGTTAGGACCGATCTTATTGCTGTTAACATTTATTGGAATCAAAAGCAGTTTGATGTTTCTGTGTTGCTTCCAAGCAAACAGTTCAGGACCAGTGTTCTTGCCAGTGTGTCGTTCATGCTGACGCTGCCCGCTGATTGGTCAAAACCAAACTGTATAAATTTTCTACACTGTACAAAGTTTCTATACCTCTTTATTCGCGCGTGGACGTGACACCCCTTTTACAACCTCTTTCCCACTTTGGCTTTATTCAAAAGCACTTTGAAGTTCATAACGCTGATACTGGGGAAGAAATTACCTACTGTAATAACTGCTTTGTTCGTAGACTATCCCCAGCCAGGCGGTTTTACCCACTCCAAACTTCAATGGAATAGCCAGAGCGCGTTCAGCCAGTAATCCTCTAAACGACCAATCGACAGCCACAAAAGTGTCTGATTTGCGTAATGTTTGACGCGCTAGAGCGTTCCACTTCAACTTCAGGGGTGTGTTTGAAGGGTGGGCAGCGTTGTGTGTCGACATTGTACTGAAGAATATTGTACTATATAGGACAAATTATCGATTTTGTTTTATTTCTGCTTTTCCAATATCCATCGTTGTTTGTTGTTCATCAGCTTTTAATTATTAGACAGGAAATGGAGTGGGTTTTCTTAGCAGTAACAGATTTAAAACTTTTAAATCACTGGTGATGTTTTCAATATTGTTATATTCAAAATGAAATGTAGAACCTTACTCATACCACGTGGTGTTATTTGACATCATTACCCCTTTGTTCTCTAGACAGTGATATTCAATTAATATAGGAAAGATCGTGTGTTACATTTTGACGCATTGTGGACGGAATAAAGAGTAATTTTCCAAACCTGAGAGGTAGCTATCGTTTCGTTAATGATACTGTTCTGCCATTGATGAGTTTTAGTTAATGTTAATATTACATTTCAACTCGATCAACTTAAAGGTGACACATTGTATATCGAGACAATCGCCGTCGATTGGTGCATGCACAGCGCAATGCCAACTGAATGGAGAGGGCTTATTAATGTAAAATGCACGCAGCAGTAATCCAGTTCCTGCTCCGACTTTTTCTGTCTTGTGGACCACGGATGGACCATAGTCAGCTGAAATTTCGGGTTTCTTTTCATAAATTGTTTCTATTTCTTTCATACATTCTAAGTTGTGTGGCTTTTCCAAGGACCCCCTCTCAGTCATGTGTCGGGGGAAAAACGAGCCAACAAACCAATAGACATAACGAAGGAGAGGCTTACCCCATGGGGGGTGATAAACCAACTTTTAACTTCATTTAAGAGACCTCAAAGAATAACACCATCCTTGCATTGCTACTAATTGAAAACTATTGATGGAGTGAGTAACTCCACAATTCTCCGAATTGTGCAATCACAATAGGTTTGACTCTGAATATGGCTTCACTCAGTTGTTTTTGTCATCTTTCCATTAGCTTCACGGTTGGACATCATCGGTAAGGCCACATCTCTGCAAACACACCGATATGACAGGAGAAACAAGAACTGTTTCCTGAAAAAATATTGGTTTAATTGGTCATCTGTTCTTGGGAAACATACTGTCATCAATCGACTGCCAACATGGCAGATGGGCGGGAAAGCCGAGACAAAAACTACAGGAATTAAAAGAAAATTTCTTGATCTTGGTGCACATTTTTTTCTCTTTTTTTGAGGGGGGAGGGCTGTTGTTGACAAATTATGTAAATATTGCTATTTTTCAAGTTTATTGCCTGTTTCAACGTGTCGTTAGGCTAAGCCGTTAAGCCGTTTCCACGTTAGGGGATAAATTAGTGGCGCGTGCATTAACAACACAATTTGTTGCTATTTTTAGCTGTACAGCACGTGATTACTCCAGCTGTATATGCGCGTGAGTGATGCATCATACATGTACATGTACATGACAGGCCAAAATGGAAACCGTGACGTGACTCATTAATTTTGGCCTGCAAACTTTGTTTTGCATGTAATTTGATAGTTAGTCTAGCAGTATCTGGACATATAAAGGCTAGTGTCTCCGAGGAACTCACAATTGTTGAAAAGGAAACCGAGTGTCGGGACAAGTTCGAAAAGAAATTCAGCACCGGACTGGAAGGAACTTGTCGTAAACTTGAAGCAACTACAAGTAGGCCCCCTATACCGCATGTGCGTGCCGTTGTCAGCAGTGGAGACTGTACATGTAGTGTACTGCTGCAAGTGGTTGCCTTGGACAGAATTTCCTTTACGAAGACAAAACTCGAAGAAGTCAGTTCACAGGTTAGCCCTTTATTTTTTTCGTATCTCCAATACGTAGAGCTGCTTGTTTGGTACTTTTTTGTCGTGTTTCAAATAGTTTGGATTCTAAACTCACGTTGGAAATGAACTTTTGTCCTACACATTGAAAACGATAGCCTCAAAGCCAGTGCATTGGGATGACTTTAATTCTGTAAGGCTAGGACAAGAAGCCGCAAGAGCTGAAGTGGTCACATTTGTGGCCCATTTTACAAGGAATACGAACGCTCAAAGAGGTAGGAAATTGTTTCTGACATTTTGATGAAGACTGCAGATTGTCAAAAATGTTAACATTCCAGCTAGAACAGGACGGTCAACTCGTTCATTACAGCATTGGTCAGTTTGACTTTTAATGGACTAATAGTAATAAGTAATATCGATACTTATCAACTGACCTAGCAAAGTGGACTAACTTGCCCAGGACAGGAGCTGATTACATGTATGTTTTAGGGCAACGATTCGAAATGCTAATTTGTCGAAAATAAA